AGCTGTCATGAACAATACAGGTATCACAAAGAGTCAGTTCAGAGGGGCAATGATTTTGTCAAATCATACCAAAATCCATCATTTGAAGTTGTTAATCAACTCTATTCCGCAAGATATCAGCAAATGAAGGAAAACAGAGAAAGATTGAAGCCCATAATTAAATCTATTATTTTTTTGGGAAAACAAAATATTCCTCTACGAGGACATCGAGATGACGGAAAACTTAATATAAGTACTAATGATGCAGGCGATGCTGATAATGATGATGATGAAGATGATGAAAATTTGGACAATGACATGCTTAATGAAGGGGTATATGGTACCGGTCCAGTTAGAAATGAGGGTAATTTCAGAGAACTACTTCAGTTTAGGGTCGATGCTGGAGACCATGTTCTTGAAGAACATTTAAAATCATCTAAATCAAATGCGACATACATAAGCAAAACGATTCAAAATGAAATCATAACCACAATTGGCGATATTATTACAGATACTATTGTACAGAGAGTTAAAGCAGCCAAATTTTATTCAGTTTTATTTGATGAAACAACTGACATATATGGTATTGAGCAATTGTCTTTGAGCTTACGATATGTTTACAACGGCCAGGTTAGAGAAGATTTTGTTGCATTTGTGGATTCTCTAGAGGATGCATACAAAGATATAGAATCGGAACCAAAATTAACCGGAAAAATGTTAGCCGGCTCAGTGTTACGTTTACTAAAAGCGCTAACTTTAGATCCACAGCATTTTGTTGGTTGTGGAACAGATGGATGTTCTGTCATGACATTTCAGTCATGTGGTGCAGCTGCAGAAATATCAAAAAAAGCTACATCATGTATTCATTGTGTTTGTACTAACCATGGACTGAACTTGAGTTTATCTAAAACATCCGATGTACAAGCCATAAGAAATGCAATGGGCACTATTAAGCAAACGACTTCCTTTTTTCGCGCATCGGCCAAAAGAAAATTAGTGCAAAGAATAATGTTTAAAAATGAAAGTCAAAATTTGGGACAAAATGTCATGCCTTTATGTGAGACACGTTGGGTTGAACGCCATGATTCGATTATCAGTTTTAGACAGTCCCTGCAATATGTTCTAGCTTCTTTAGAAAATATTGCTAATTGGCATGACAGAGAAACATCATCCAAAGCAAAGACGTTGTTATCGGCTTTAACTGATTCTGAATTTTTAATAGCTTTGTACTCAATTGCCGATCCATTAATTCTAACTAAGCCACTAAGCAAAGTTTTACAAACAGAAAATTTAGATTTGGTCGAGGCAGCTCAACATGCTAATAGAGTCATAGATAATCTTCAATCTAGAAGAAAAAATGTTGAGCAAATATTTCATGATATCTTTACGAGAGTTTCTAAAGTTGCAGAGGAACTGAATATTGAATTAAAAATGCCAAGATGTATAGAAAGACAAGTAAATCGTGCAAATATTAAAAGTAACTCATTAGAAGAATATTTCAGGATTGCTATATTTATTCCCATGCTAGATAGTATGATAACAGACATGAAATCAAAATTTGGAACAATCCAAATAGCTATAATGGGTTTGAGTCGTTTGATACCTTCAGTTTTCCTCCGAATAAGTGGTAATGCAGAACAGAATAAAACATGGTTTTTAATTGACCAAGCTGTTACGAAATATAAAAGTTTAATAACAAATTTGACCTCGTATGATGACAACACGGCCATTGAATTTGTACGCAATGAAGAAATGCTCTGGACGCAGTACTGGGTAAAGATGAATTCACAGCCCAAAACGGCCACTCGCTTTGTGCAATTCCAATCTCTATCCGACAATTCACAGCCTGTTGTCAATATTGTGCACCATGCCTGTTTCAGTAGCAACGGCAGAACGTTCATTTTCTACCCTGAGGCGGTTAAAAACGTGGATGCGCTCCAAAATGAATGAGGAAAGACTAACGGGATTAGCCTTAATGAACATTCATCGCGATATTGAAGACATTATAACAAGGTTTGGCCGAAAAAAAATGTAGAAAAATGACATTTGTCTTGTAAATATTTCATGTATATAACAGAACAATGTTTTGAAGAATGTTTTTCAATTTTAAAAAAATCAAGAAGTTGAAGTGTTTGGCTTTTTGTTATTTATTTCATAAAATATCAAACCTCAGTTCAAAGTGGGGGGGGGCGATCGCCCCCACCGCCCCCCCTCTGGATCCGCCATTGTTCACGTGTATGTCATCTTGGTTGCGTTGTTAACATTGAATTACATTATTGCTAATGTTTGTTAATGTTAATTTTTGATGTAGCAATATTTAGAAAATGAACCCTGTAATAGACCAGTGAACTATGTAGTTCGGTTGTACTCATAATCAAAAAATACGCTGGCTTCTTATTGTACGATGTATTATGAATATATCTAGAAACACGCAATATCTTCTGTGGTCCAAAACATGAATGAAAAAAAAATGGCACACCCCGACTCGGTCGGTGTCTGCCAGAATTTAAAAATACGATGTTATTAAATAAGTTTATTAAATAAAATTAACCTAAAGTAATGGAAAATACGATTCAACACCGAAATTATCCAACTAAATACAACTCATCCAGTTTGAGTAATTTTGAAAATATTGATTACCTCACCTTACCGGTTAAAAGCGAAAGTAATGTAACTCATGCAACGCAACATGCTCGATGCATCACTGGCGGAACGTGCATCCGTGCTGGTAGTCAGGTTCGTCAGACCAGGGCTTGGTTACAAGGTAAAATTTTTATTTTACAGTATCTAACAAACTTAGACCGTCTAATTTCAATTTTTTATTGTTGTTAGGAATTTAGTTTGCGAACGGTAGGTAAATAAAAACTTGTTATTCGTCCGTTGAAATTTTTTTTGTTCGCCAATGACATGACATTTAGTGTAACGTGCTGCATGATTTTGTTTCCAGGTGGTTCGTCGTCGGTTTCCTTCTCACAATTTCTGGCCTGTTAAACGACAATAGAATGAATTCTTTGAGGATGCTTCGTCCCATGCGTGCCACAGCTGAAAATGTTCTCAAACCTTTATTCTCTGCTACTTCTACATCTACTTCATACTCCCAGAAGAAAAATTGTATGAATTTTTTATATTTAAAATTAATTTTTAATATGATTTTTTTTACTTATTATTATCTTATTCTTTAGCTGTTTGTTCAGGACAAATGTGGTTCTTCAGGAAATAATTTGTTAAATTTTTTTATTTATTTAATTTTTTAATGATTTAGAATTTTAAATTTACTTTGCCTTTGCTCTAAAATGCAGAATGCTACCATTATTTGTTTATTTTATTCAGTAGCTAAAATTTTTTGATTTAAATACAATTGACAATTAAATAATTATTAATTAATTAATACATTAATTGAAGATATTTCTTTGTGATGAATGCTTACATTACCAAGCCACTGAATTTGAATTTTTTAATAAGGCTGCATCTGTAACATAATTGACAATTTTTTGGCACTGTAATACTGTATAAAAGTTATTTCTCAGTGTTGTTATACTTCATAGTTGAATCATTTAATCAACAAATATCTTGTTGTTTTAATGTAGTCTGAGAGTTAAACATTAACTGCAAGCTTGGGGCAGCACTGAACTGTAATTCCCATTGGTGCTTCATTATTGTTTTCATCAATAACATGGTAAAAATCTGATAATGTTGGTATGTTCTCCATGCAATTGCTATTGTTAAGTCACTTGGCCTTGGAAACCTAAAATAGAGCTTAGGCATATAATTTTGACTAGTATATATTTTATTTTGACAAGTAGTAAATGATATCAATGTCTCAGATTAAACTCGAAGGACAGGTGTAAAAAATTGGATATCATAAGATATCATTAGCATGCTCTTGAGATGTCAAAATGTTATTTTGACATTGTCAAAATGTAATAAGGTATCATTGAGATATCTTTGAATCATTAGTTTTCCAGTAAGTTACTATTTGTGTTCATTTATGGATAGCTGATTAATGCTTGAAACATGCCATTTTATTGTATCTAGATTCATATTGACCAATCTGAGAATATATCCATGCCAACATGAAACACACCAAATTTATATTTACACATTTTTATGTGCTAATGAAGCACAATAAAATTAAAATCAAAGCAAATATAAAAATACTTTCATTACATAAATTTTCATTACGTCTTAGCAATTTTTTTTGTAAATTATATAAGTGGATTTTGCATTTTAGTGCATTTCATATAATATAGCTGACCGATATAGATGGAATTCAATTAAATTTGGTCAGTTTCAACCAGCTGTAGTTGTTTTAGTGCCTATGTATGTAAAATCTGCAATTCAAATAGTTTTTAACTTCTATTACAAAATAATGGGGGGTGGTGATAATCATGAGTTCCTGAATTTTAACACAACATCTGCATCAAGTTATGACCACACAAGAATTCCAAAAATGTATAACACTAGAATTTTTAGTTAAATTTGATCCCTCCCAAGAGGTTTTGAAATCTGAGGCTTAACTTGAATGAAGTTATTTTGTGGGTCGTAACCAAATACAAGAACCTAACCAAATTAACCTATAGAAACCTACCCAAAAACTAAAAAGACTCTAATTAACGTAACCTTCATGCACAATTGCGATTTTTATTTTATTTCTGGAATAAATTTGTTATATCACGTTACATTATACTAGATACATGTATCACATATGTATGTGTGCATGTATAATTTGCAAATGTACAGAGTCAGGTAAGTGAATGAATGATTCCCGAAATTGTTCCATAGTGAGAGATGACTGATTTGTTGAGTACTGTCCAAGTATTGCTTTTAATGAAATACTGTTTAAGCGACGTCTTGACGTCACGACGTATTTTATTCGGAAGTGTAACTTGAATACGAAACAGAGGATCAGATTTGGGCAAATACGTTGACGAGCCTCTAGCAAACAGAATTTCTTTTTTCATTTTTTTCTGATTCTTGGTCTCAGTGATGTCCGACTTAACGTGTTCCTCAACTTTATATGAATTAGTGAAGGGTCCACCTTCTTTCAGTTCTGCAGTCATATTTAGTCTCTTCCTTTCTTTCATGACTGCAATAACCTGTTTCACAGCAACGCCTGCCTGAAACTTCTCTTTCATGGATTGAATCCAAGTTAGTTTTAGGTTCTTAACCTGACAAGCTTCTTCACAGAAACTTCTAAATGACAACTTCGACTAAGCCCGAAGTTCTTCGGTCTGCTGAATGACAATGTTTTTTTTGACAGACTCAAGCTGCTGTAATTTGTATAGACGGTAGTCTACTTGACCACATAAACGTTCCATTGCTATGTTTATAACTGGAGTGTCGTATTCGTTGAAGGCTTGTTGTTTAGCAAGATATTTCTCCTCGAAATCCGAAGTAATTTCGTAGCCACGGCGTCGTCTGCTTAAGGTGGTTTTTAATGCAGGCATTATAAAATTTGTTACATCATGTATGTTAGATACATGTATCATATTTGTATATGTGCATGTTTGACGCAATCTTCTTCATACTGTCGCACAGTTTCCGACAATGCATGCACAACGTCATGACCATAACTGCGATCTACACCATCAAACAAATTTGACTCAATACTGTTAAACTATGGCTTTTCAAACCTGAAGAAATCGGAAGTCACATCTTTCGACATTTCCTGAAAGAGAGTTTTATAAAAACTTTTCAGTTGAGAATGAGTAGTTCTTGTAGCAATGGTTACACTATAGAAAGGCTCAACCAGATGACTTTCGAGAGCACCAAGCACAGCAAAAGCAGGTCTAAAATATTTGACATTCAAAAAACTTCTAACGATACATGATAAATGATTTGTGACTCCTGGATTGTCTTCGAGGAAGCTCTTCATTAAGGGAAACAGAAGTACCATAACTGCAGCAGCACGTGAAAGACATCCAAACCTATTATCTTTGTAAAAAAATAGTACTTGATACAAATCACAATTTTCCAAATGAAACACAAACAGTTTGTAATAATTCCATGGTTTATGCTGAAACTCGAGTGCAACAAGTCAAAGCATGCAATCCAGTGCTTGACCGGCTACTGATCCATGTTTAGAATCAAAATCTTGATCTACCATAAAGTTTTGGAATATTGCCTCCAACGTCATATTTTCTTTGGTCATGTTAATTTGTTTATTCATTCCAGATGCAAATCCTAATGTTGTATGTGTAAAGAAACCTGTCAAACAATTTAATCAAACTTGAACTGTCGTATTACACTATCTGAAATATAAAACAAAAAGTATGTCAGCATATTTGAGAAAATTCAATTTTAATTTAATTGAATTTTTTACATAAGATATGCTGAAATGCGCAGGTATGAAAATTGTAAGTTTGTATCGGATGAGTTAGTTACTTCAGGTGAGATTGATTATTCTCATGGTCACTATTTAACTCCTGTTATTAGCAGTGTACCTGTACACATTTTCGAATGGGCTTGGATGCCATCAAAAATGAACATATTTCTATATTACACATTTTTGTAGATGATTTTTAATGCTTAATATTTCATGTGCGGTGGCGACTTGAAATTCTGAAAAACAAATTTTTACGCCATTTATCACCAACCTCTAATAATAATGTGCTACACCCTTAAATGATGTTTTATTACAATGCCAATGCAGATTTTTTAAAAGAATAAATAAAACAGGGTTGTGATGAAAAATATCAGTTGATAAAAACCCCCCAAAAAAGTTAAAGCATAAAATTATAAATATTGCGTGTGCCGTGAATTTGAAAATAATCTTTTTAAAAATTATGAATTAATAGTCTATTGGATATGTCATATTTGTCAGATTCAAAAACATCTAGAATTCAAGTGGCCAAACCAGTTGTAGATTTAGATGGAGATGAAATGACCCGCATTATCTGGTCGTGGATTAAGGAAAAGGTTAATTAAATTTGTCATTGTTGCCACATTGTGAGTTTAATTTAGGCAAATGTTTCTGTGACTACTTTTTAAATGTAAAATGAATATTTTTGTCACAACAATTATTTTGTGATTCAATTATGTTCTTTTAACATGATATTGAAAATAAGTTTGCAAGTTAGCTAGGATGTTAGCAGTCTACTCTGACTTGGCTCAAATGCTTTCTGTTTGAATCCATGGATAGATTGGCTATCATATGCTTCTTGTATATAATGGCATACTCGTGCATACATAGTACATACAAATATCTACACTGCATATGTTGGGTAGCGTAGACAGTCTGTGGTCCAAAGGTTTGTAACTGCAACTAAATAAGCAAAGAAAAATTTATATAGAACTTTGAGTTTGTCAGAGCTTTATAATGAAAAATCGAAATAGCACTAAATTTTTCATAATTATTTCAATTCATATTAACTTATCAATTGATAAAGATAAATTGGAATTTTCCAGCTTGTCTTGCCATATGTCAATGTAGAAATTTTGTACTATGACCTGGGACTGCCCCATAGAGATGCTACTAATGATCAAGTAACCATCGACGCTGCCTTAGCCATAAAGAAACACAATGTTGGAATTAAATGTGCCACAATAACTCCCGATGAAGAGAGAGTTAAAGGTATAATCCTAATTACTGGTTTTCAATGCAAGAAGCTACCAAAAATATTTTGAAAAATTACTTTATCTGATATTTAAATTTACAACACAGAATGGGTTTTTAAATTGAATAAGGAAAGATGTTCTTTAATTTAATTAGTTTTCAGTTGCATTTCGCTGTTTAGATGTAAGGTGCTACACAAATCGATCAATATTTATAGTAGCACTATTTTGGAAATAGCAAAAGTTATTTCGTGTGTTTTTGCATTAATTAATATGTATTTGATATTTGCTGATTTTTTAGGTATTACATACATTACCTTTTCACTACTCTCTAATATTTTATCTGTTACAAGTTGGAAAGGAACTGAAAAGTTTTGGGCACAAATCTTTTTTTATCAGTTTTTTTATCAGTTTTTACATTTTTTGAATGATTAGCATTTCCAAATTTTTCCAGAATTTAATCTTAAGAAAATGTGGCTTAGTCCTAATGGAACAATAAGAAACATCCTGGGTGGTACCGTGTTCAGAGAGCCAATCATTTGCAAGAATATTCCTAGGTTGGTTCCGGGCTGGATCAAGCCAATTACTATCGGCCGTCATGCTCATGGAGACCAGGTTTGATTATTGAATTGTTCTGGAACATTCATTTATGTTGTCTCATGTGGATCAAGCTTCGCATAGAAAAGCAAACAATGATTATTTTTTCTGCATACGCGCCACAGACAGGCGAATCAGAAGAGATGAAAAATGACTTCTGGACTGCATTCTCTGACACCATCTCAACAATACCAAAATCTGAAACAATCCTGATTGGAGGCGATCTCAATGGCCACGTTGGACAGAAAACAGATGGTTTTGACAACGTACATGGCGGTTTTGGCTATGGAAAACGGAATGAAGATGGCAACCGCATCCTTGAGTTTGCTGAAAGTCACGGGTTTTGTTTACTGAACACATATTTTCGAAAGAGGTTGGAACATCTCATAACATACAAAAGTGGACCATCAACCATCAACCACGCAAATTGGTTTCTTCGCTGTCAAGCAACCACACCGAAGGCTGTTCAAAAACGTCAAAGTTATACCTGGCGAATCATGTGTCGCCCAACATAGACTCCTTGTGGCAGACCTGGTTGTCGAACTGTCAAAACATAAGTCTAAACAAATGCCTTGGAGAATCAAAACGTGGAAGCTGAAAAGCAATATTCATTGAGAAAAATTTCAACAGATTGTCGCCACACAGTTAGACCACCAATCGCAAGCCAGTACAGATTGGAGTACATACAAAACCGTTTTAATGAACGCTGCAACTACAGTTTGTGGGAAAACTGGTACAAAACGTCAACATGAACGTGACACTTGGTGGTGGAATGACAGTGTACAAAATGCAATAGCTGAAAAGAAAGTTGCATACAAGCAGTGGCAAAAATCAAAGTCTGTAGATGACCATAAAATTTTCCGTAAGAAGAACAACTATGCAAGACGTCAAGTCGCACTGGCTCGGACAGATCGGTGCAGAGAGTGGCTCACTAAAAGCAAAGGTGAACAAATGAAATCTCTGTATCGTATAGCAAAAGAAGCAAAGCGTACGAAAAAAGACATAGTTGGTGCCTCATGTATCAAAAACGACAAAAATGAGATGGTTCTTGAACAAGATGAGATCAAGCTACAGTGGAGAGAATACTTCAATCGTCTGTTAAACGAAACAAATCCCATCAATGTTAACTTTGACGCTCCACCCATCGAAGGTCCGATTCCAGACATCACTGTAGAGGAGCTTACAGAAGCTCTGAAAGCTATGAAGGATGGAAAGGCAGCAGGGCCCTCTGGACTCACAAATGACATTATCAAAGCATCTGGTACTGCAGGTATCCAAACATTACTACAACTTTGCCTTGAAATCTTGAGAAATTGCTCAATGCCGACTGAATGAAACTATAGCATTACAATCCCGCTATACAAAGGTAAAGGTGATCCATTGAACTGTTCATCATATCGGTGTATACGTCTGTTAGAACACTCCCTGAAAATTGCGTCTGCGGTGGTTTGGTCATGTCAAACGAAGTGGAAACAGTGCCATAACTTCTCTTGCAGATGTTGAAGTACCTGGCACACGTCCCAAAGGCCGTCCAAAGAAGTCCTGGTCGCAAACAATCGAGCAAAACATGAAAGCTCTAAATTTAAATGAAATGGATACAACTGATCGTCTAATTTGGCGCAAAAAGTTGATGGCAAAGAAAACAACGTCCTACCTCGGGAAACCGGGTCTCTGGACGCAAAACGAAGATTGATTGATTTGATTATGTTGTTGATTTGCTTAAGCACTCACTTCATTATGTTATGACATTTAATTTAATGATGAAACTACATAACCCACCAGTACAAGGCAACAGATTATGTAGCCAGAGGTCCTGGAAAACTTGAATTATGTTTCACTCCAGAAAATGGAGAAGTGCAGAAGTTGGAAGTATTTACTTTCAAAACAACTGGAGGAGTGGGACTGGCTATGTACAATACAGATGAAGTTTGTACATTTCCAAGTTCATTTTATATATTTAATATCAGTGATTAATATTTTATCCTGTCTACACTAGTTAAATTTTTGCAATCAAAAATCTTTCTGCATCCTGTTACACTTTCTCCAAACGTCTAAACTTTTTTATTTTTTCTGATGAAATGAGGTCTCAATAGGATAACTAATTCAATCTGATAGTAAAGTAGTAGTAGTAATTTAAAAAATTAATGATTGACCTTAGAGTTACATTGATAAATTTTAATTTGTTAGTCCATAACAGGGTTTGCCAACAGTTGCTTTCAGTATGCACTGAAAAAAAAGTCTCCACTTTATTTGAGTACCAAGAACACTATTTTAAAGAAATATGATGGAAGATTTAAAGATATCTTCCAGGAAATTTATGAAAAGTTTGTGATTGCTGCATTCTTTATAAATTTTAACATCGTCATTCATGTAATTCTTAGGTGGGTCCAAAAAGCTCAAATTGCATGTTGAGATTATTGCTTGCAGTATTCTTTAAATCTATCTTTGTTCATTATGCCACTGAAGATTTTTTAATCATTTGCATTCTGAAATGATTCTTTGACATACTTCACGGTGTGATTCTCTAGGCTTTCAACTTTTTAGTTCTTATTTTTAAATCATTTTTTCTGAATGTATTTCTTATATACTTTTTACAACTTGACGTTAAAAATATTCACGGTTTGGATTTGTTAATGCATATATGTTAACTTTATTTTCTCTGCATTCGAAATCAAAATGCTCGTAAATGTATTTAGAAATGTTTTGTATCTCGTGCACTTGAAGGAAAGTACTCGAAAACATTACAAGAGTTTTTAAAAAATTTTTGTATATAAATTTACTGTAACTGTGAATAAATTATTTTGTAATTGCATCAAATAAATTTTGCAGATCATATCAGAAGAGTTTTGAATCATCTGGCATTTGGTATGAGCACAGGTTGATAGATGACATGGTGGCTCAAGCATTGAAATCAGCTGGTGGTTTTGTTTGGGCCTGCAAGAATTATGATGGAGATGTACAATCGGACATTGTTGCCCAAGGTTCATATTTGCACATTTAAACGATGATTTGTTTAGAATATTGCACGAAGTTTCAAAGAATTTTATTTGAATTCATTATTCCTCTGGACTTTCCATTTATAGGATATGGTTCATTGGGACTGATGACAAGCGTACTCATGTGTCCAGATGGAAAAACAATGGAAGCCGAGGCCGCCCATGGCACTGTAACACGTCACTACAGAGAATATCAGAAAGGAAAACCTACAAGTACCAATCCCGTTGCCAGCATTTTTGCATGGACACGAGGCTTGGAACATAGAGCTGTTTTGGATGGAAATGAAGATTTGAAGCATTGGTGCACTGGAATTGAAAAAGCTTGCGTTGATGTCATTGATTCTGGAAAAATGACAAAAGATCTGGCTGCCTGCATATATGGATTAAAAAAGTAAAGTTTTGTTGATCATTTTATTGTTCAAAAATTTTTCAGAATAAACTTCATTTCTAGCTTAGCCTGTCAAATAAATTGCAACGCAGTGGCGGATCTAGACAACGTTGACGAGAGAGCCAAAATTTGAAAAATGTTGAAATTTTTTGAAGATTGACTGGGGGTCAGGAAATTCACCGAATATTTGCTAGTCTAGCCGAAATTAGGCTGCGACATTTTTGCTTAACACGCCAATTTTAATATTTTGTTTTTAAAATCGGTGATTTTTCTCTAAAAACTAAATTTTACTGACTTTTAACAACAATACTTCCCACAACTGGAGTCGCCCCCCTAGATCCTCCACTGCTGCCATGTGTAAAAATTTTGCCTCATTGAGTAAAAGAGATACATAGCATTTGGTGAATAAAATAAAATAATTCTAAAAAATTAAAATTTTGTTGTGATAATGTAACTGCACCAAAAAATGTAAATGCATTATTAAACCAGTAAAAATAGAATAATAAATAAAAAAAATTGTTCAACATTACGAACATGCTGTGATTTCCATCAATAATTGATTTTCTGACAGTCTTAATCCAATATATATATATATGTGTGTGTGTGTGTGTGTGTGTGTGTGTGTGTGTGTGTGTGTGTGTGTGTGTGTGTGTGTGTGTGTGTGTGTGTGTGTGTGTGTGTGTGTGTGTGTTGGTAAGTTGGTAATAGACCATAATTTTTACAATATTCTATAAATTCTACCGAATGTTTAGCGTTAATATGTTTGTAGTTTTTTCGATTTTCCTCACTAAGTTTTTTGGAGAACATTAAGTTTATTAAAATTCAAAATAAACTTATTTTTCGAATTCATGCGGCAAATAAGGCCATATTTCGATTCCGAATGAATCATCATCAGTGTAAGTTGATTTATATAGGGAAATATTAACTTTGTGAAAATGAACTTAGATGGAAATTAGGCGTCAGATTTCTTTTTTAGCTGGTCCATCTTCGTTGGTTTCCTTTTCTTCATCGACAGCATCATATTCATCTTTGTCAATATTTACAATGCTTGTTTTCATTACTTCTTTGTTTTCATTGTTGATTAAGCGCCGGGTTGGGAGTGAGAATATTGTATATATATATATATACGAAAAAACGTACTACACTTGGTTCAGGATCTTGGTTGTATGGACATGGTTCCTTAAGTCAACAAGGTTTACTTTTAGCCCGTGTTCGGCAAGCTGGGTATTCCAGACCTCAAACTTTCTGGCTGCGTCTTGTTCCGAGACCGCCGTCTGGTAGATATCATTTGCATGTATCACATTCCATATGTCATCTGAGCGTATCGGTTTGGTTATTTATTCCATCACCGTGATGAAGAGCAGGGGGCTGAGTATTGATCCCTGATGGACGCCGACGTTAATATCAAATTCATTCGTGTTACCGGCTGTTGTGCTGACCAGAGTTTTTGTGTTAGGGTACGTTGCCTTAACCAGCCGAACCAGTTATTCGGGAACCAGCTGTCTATGTAGACTCCACCTGGTTGCCTCACGAGGCACTTTGTCAAAAGCCTTTTCCAAGTCCACAAAGACATGGAACAGTCGCTTTTGCTCTGCCATGTATTTTTTCTGTAGTTGACGAATGATATAGATGGCATCAATGGTGGATCTCCCTGCCATGAAGCCGTACTGGTAACCACCTATTGAAACGCACGACAACAGTCTTCTCGCAATGACTTTTTCAATAACTTTCAGGGGATGTTCCAGAAGACGTATACCTCGATATGAGGAGCATTGCAGTGGATCTCTTTTGTCTTTATATATCGGCACAGTTGTGCTACTGTTCCATTCCACTAGTAGTATCGATTTACTCCACATCTCCCGACCGATGTGTAAGAGGGCTCTGAAGCCTACTCCACCAGATGCCTTGATGATACCATTTGTAAGTCCAGACGGACCAGCCGCTTTACCCACCTTCATTGCCTTCAACGCATCCGTAAGCTCCTCAGCTGTGATGCCCTGAATCGGTCCTTCCACCTTCCGGTGAGCAATCCAGAATCCTGTGAACTGATAACTGATAGAAGCAATCCTTCCAGTAATCTTTCACTTTATTTTGCAAGGTTATTATGGTGCCTTTATATTCTTTATGCATGTGGCACCAACTATATCTTTTTTCAGTCTTTTGGCCTGATTTGCTATTCGGTAGAGTGATCGAATTTGTTCGCATTTACTTCCAGACAGCCATACTTTGTATTGATTTGCACGAGCTATCGCAACCTGACATTTTGCTTCTGTGTTCTTTGATCGGTATGTCTTTCGATCTTCATCAGTCTTCGTCTTCTGCCATTGTTTGAAAGCTGCTTTCTTACTGGCAATACCATTTCGCACCGTCTCGTTCTACCACCGAGTTTCGCGGTTGTGCTGGCATTTTGGTCCAGATTTTCCACATATAGCTGTTGCAGCGTTCACTAGGGTGTCCTGAAAAGATTTCCAGGTTATGTCTACTTTTTCCAGACGATCCAGCTGTGCCGATATCAACTCCTCGAATTTTTCCTTGAACATGGGGCTCTTCAGTTTCCATGTCCTTATTCTACTAGGCATTCAATTAGCCACAGGGCGTGATCGTTCCATAATCATATCGGCCACCAGCAATCGATGTTGAGGGATGCATGCTTCGCCTGGATTGACTTTTGTATTCCTGAATAGTCGTCTGTGTTGTTGTCTGACGACAATAAAGTCAATTTCTGCGCATGACATCCCGCTTTTATATGTGATCAAATGTTCTGCCCTCTTCTTAAAATAAGTGTTCAACAGGAAGAGTTCATGTCTTTCAGCAAATTTCAGAATCCGTATACCGTCTTCGTTTTGAGACCCATAGCCAAAGCCTCCATGGACACCGTAAAACCTATTTGCTTTATCTCCAACATGGCCGTTGTGGTCGCCACATATCAATGGTATCTCTGATTATGGTGTTTTCCTGACGGCATCTGAGAGTGTGTTCTAGAAATCATTTTTGGCGTCTTCAGATTCACCTGTCTGTAGTGCATATGCAGAGAAAACAGTCAGAACCTGTTTTTCCATTTTGAGTTTAATCAGCATTAGGCGTGAGCTGATTCGAACTACCTCCAGTACATTTTGTGCCAGTGATTCCCGTATGAAGATTCCCACTCCATTTTGGGCTGTCTTTTGGCCATTCCAGAACAACTTGTAACTCCCAATGCGAGAGACACCATTTGATTTCCATCTTGTTTTCTGCAGAGAACAGATGTCAACCCTTCGCCTTTCCAGCATGTCAACGATCTCCATGGAGCGTCCAGTAAGCGATCCAGTATTTTAAGTGCCAAGTCTGATATTCCAGGAGGGGACGCCCGATTTTCCGCAACATCCCTCCACTGTTGCGTACTTCCTGGATATTGTCACCCCTTGACCATTTAACGTGAGGATACTGGCCGGTTGATTAGTGACGGAAGCGAAAGCTAGAGAGATAGCGAAAATACTACAGCCAGTTGCTCAACCGCCGAATGTCGGCGCCCTCGCTGGAATTGCAGAATTTTGCTGAATCCACTGCCCCAGACCCCGGGGTTGACACTGAACCCCCTTCCGTAGCTGAGATTGTCGCGGCTATAGGAACGCTAAAGAGCGGCAAGGCATCGGGCCTGTGTAACATTCATCCGGAGATACTTAAATCAGGTGAACCTATGTGTGCTAGTTGGCTGCACTCCGTCATCACCCGGGTGTAGCAGTCCGGTGCTGTCCCGGATGATTGAAGGAAAGGTGTCAACATTCCGTTTTACATGGGTAAAGGATCGCTCCATGAATGTAAAAATTATAGAGGCATCACTTTGCTGTCAGTTTCAGGCAAGGTGTTTGCCCGCGTTCTTCTTGATCGCATTCGTCCTCTCTTGCTATCTCGGCGCCGTGGAAAGCAAAGTAGCTTCACGCCTGGTAGGTTTACCATCGACAGGATATTCACGCCAGACCTCTCTGGATTGCCTACATTGACTTGAGAGCTGCTTTTGATTCAGTCAACAGGGATGCTATGTGGCTGTTGTTCCGTGGTCTGGGCATCCCCGATCACCTGGTAAAACTGCTTAACGCTCTATACAACCCTGAGCTGTGTTAGATCGGAGGGGCGATGCTCTCGGTGGTTCGAGATTGATAGCGGCGTCAGAGAGGGGTGTATACTTGCGCCGGATGAGTTCTTGGCCCCGATAGATTAGATCATGGAGCGTTTCGTACACAAAAGTGAGCTCGGCGCCACAATTGGCAAGGAGGTGTTCACGGACCTGGACTATGCAGATGATGTCGCTCTGTTAGCTGAGATGCGAGATGTTCTCATGCTGTCGTTGGCTACTATGTCCGAGGAGGCAAAGCCTTTTGGTTTAGAAATCAACTGGGACAAAACGAAAATTTAGGCAATCTCTCTGGGTGATCCGCCACCCGCGTCTGTTTTTGTGCTGGGTAATGACGTACAGATTGTGGATTCGTTTCCATATCTCGGCTAACAAATACACTTGTCATGCAATAATGACGCTGAAATTTCGCATCGAATCATCATGATGTCCCAAGATCTTTGTATATGACGCTCAAGCATTTCTGTGACGACCAAAGTTCGATTATATAGCGCATACATCCCGTGCTGCCCTATGGATGCGAGGCGTGGTCAACTACTGGCGCTCATTTGAAGAGGCTAGACGCTACAGATCAATGGTGCTTACGCAGGATCCTTAGTCTGACATACCGCGATCGTGTCACCAACGTTGAAGTGAGAAGAAGAGCACAGCAGCCCTCCGTTTCCTCACTCCTGTTCAGGTGTCGTCTAAACTTCTTTGGTCATATAGCTCGTGCCAGTCCTATGTAGGATCATTACCGGGCTTTAAAAGCTGTCATAGACCGACTGCCACCGGACTAGACTCGACCGTGCGGCGGTCCAAGACAGACATGGATCCGCTCAGTGGAGAAGGACCTGTCTCTCATCAACTACGGTCTTTTCTCGGCCCTGCTCATGATCGCTTGAAATTGAGGCACCTTGTGAACACGGCAACGTCCCGTTATGGGGCACGCCCATAATAATGATAATGCGTAAGGATAGCATTTTAATGAAGGTTTATTGTCGTAGTTAACATTTATGATATTTACAAAATTGTTTGATTGCATTCATCTTCACTTCAAAAAACTTTTAACTGTAAAATATAAATCGTTTGTACCGTCGACTTTATATTTTGTTTATTATTTTCATGTTAACTTATTCTTGTGCTTAATATGTACATGAGTTTAAAGTATTTTTTGGCGTTGATTTTTCTGATAACTTTAAAAGTCATTATTATTATTATTAGACTGCAGTTATTAAATTATTTATTTCAATTTGTGGTCTGATATAATGATAATCCCTCGTTCATTGATACACAGCGTTAAAGAGGAGCACTACTTGAACACAGAAGATTTTCTAAATGCTGTGAAGGAGAAATTTGACGCTGCCGAAGGAAAATAAATTAGTTGAATTAGTCAATAGCAATTTCTCGTATTTTTGTTACTTTTAGGAATTACAGTACGATTAATTGTTGTCGTAGGCATTATTTATAGAAGAACCATGTTTTGTTTAGTAATATAATCCGTAACTGTGTATTTCTATAATTTATAGCACAATAAATTGGTAGCAAAATGTAATGATAGCTATTGAAAAATAATTGTACCAGGTGTTCCTTTGACTTACTTAATTCGAAATTTATAAATGAGTACAAACATATATGCAAACATATATGCAGGCAGTGGTTAGAATTTAGAGAAAATGTTATCATCTTACTTGAGTTCTTCGGTGCATGTGCTTAAATCTGCTGCTGCGTATATGTTGTCACGGTGACAGTCATCGTTTGGGTGCATGTTTTAGTTTAAGCCTACGTATGAATTATAGCTTCTTGTTCCAAGATGCGTAGAACCAGCTAAATAATCTTAAACTGCTAATGTTTCGCCAGTAATTTATGGTTGCAGTTGCAATCGTGTTTAAGTTAAATAAGACTAAATTTTCTGTTGAAATTGAACTGAATTTTTAAATGTAAACGCGCGATAGCTTTTACCAAAGTCTCGCGTCAATTGATGTCACGCTTGTCATTTCAAAATGTAGCAAGGCTAGAATGCACAGACTCCGTTGATTTTAGATTCAGCATATATGGTTACGGTATATAGCAGTAATGGTTTAACTACCCCAAAAAAGTAGGGTTTACTACTTCACTAAAAACCAGTGCGACTTGACGTCTTGCATAGTTGTTCTTCTCACGGAAAATTTTATGGTCATCAACAGACTTTGATTTTTGTCATTGCTTGTATGCAGCTTTCTTTTCAGCATATGCATTTTGTACACTGTCATTCCACTACCAAGTGTCCCGTTCATGCTGGCGTTTTGTACCAGTTTTGATTGATTGATTGATTGATAGTAACTACTTTAAAGAAATGTAGTTATTAACTACTTCATAATAGTTAACTACTTTTAATTATTATTATTAAAAAAACCCTTCTGAAAAATTGTTTTAAATTTATTAACCAACATATATATTTTTTTAAATAAATGTTTTTTTTAAATGTGTGTTTAAGACAATCTCTCAAAAAATCAATTTATTGGTATGATCATGTGACAATCTACAGCGTTTATCAGTTAGAATTTGTCCAGCAACACTGAAAGGACGCTCAACCACTGCAAAGTTAGGTAATGTTAAATTTAGTTTAATGAAACTTGCACATACTGATGGATAGGAAAATAAACTTAAAAAAAAAATAAAATCAATATTCTAAGATGGGTTAGACAAGTAACTGTTGATTTCATCAGCCAACACATGATCCAAAAAATTTTGATTATTTTTCAGGTAATCATACAAAGTGTCACTATTTATTTGCTAATGTTCGCTTTCTTTAGGAGACGAAGGTACAGGACTTTGCAATCTGCGTGTAATGTAAATAAATAATCATTTACCAAAAAAATTGGACACTTTAGATAAAGTGTCCAATTTTGTTTGTCCTGCTTGCATCAATCCACAACAACAAATTCAAAATAGCAATGTTTTTGAAGCCATTAAGGTAGAGAAAGTCACATCGTTTCAATATCTAGGGGATGTTCTGGATTGTACTGGAACAGCTGAAGCTGCCGTTCGAGCACGCATACGTGCAGCCTGGAATAAATGACATCTCCTTGCCTCTATATTGATGCGGCGTGACATTTCACTACCACTTCGATCAAGACTTTATAAGTCTGTGATACGTCCGATGTTGTAATATGGTGCAGAAACATGGCCAATGACAACCAAACTGGAACAACAACTTCAACGAACCGACATGAAATTGCTCCGATGGATGTAACGAATTAGTCTGAAGGACCACATCAAATTTACCGAAATCCTGCGTCGCGCTGGTTTAGATGATATAAAGGACGAATGCCGGCAACCGTCTGCGGTGGTTTGGTCATGTCAAACGAAGTGGAAACAGTGCCATAACTTCTCTTGCAGATGTTGAAGTACCTGGCACACGTCCCAAAGGCCGTCCAAAGAAGTCCTGGTCGCAAACAATCGAGCAAGACATAAAAGCTCAAAATTTAAATGAAATGGATACAACTGATCGTCTAATTTGGCGCAAAAAGTTGATGGCAAAGAAAACAACGTCCTACCTCGGGGAACTGGGTCTCTGGACGCTAAATGAAGATTGATTGACTAATTTACCAAAAACCATTTTCAAACAATGTGTGACTTCAAATCATTTATAAGCAAAAGTTAATTTGAATAAGTATTTATCAATTGCAATTAAAAAACTATTACTTGATTGTTCAATTTCTCTGTGCTTATTTTCCATATAGGCCAATAATTTTCATTTAAAAGTATTCTTGTTGTTTTCACAGGTTAGAAAGTTTGTTTTAAATTGTGGAATTAGCATAGAGACAAACAGATACTCATCATTTTCTAAAATTTGCCCAAATTTTTTTTCTTTACCACATTTCTTTTCTTTAACACAGTCAGCGCTTGCAATAAAGGTTGAACAGCTTTATCTGTACACAGTTAATTTTTTTTTAATTCTAGTGATTGTTGGTACAATGTGACCTATGTATGAATTTTCACTCTGAATGATATCCACTGCAGTTACTATTGGTTTCATGGCTTGGAGAAAAGACTTCAAAAAACTAAATTCATTTTCTGTAAATAAAACTTGTCCTAATTCTTTGACAACTACAAATTTTGTTGAATCCTATGTCAACAACTCTTTCTACTGCATAAAATTCTGAACACCACCTTGTAACATTTGGTTTAATAAATGTAGAACCAGTAATGTCTTGTACAATATTAGCATTTTTAGTACTCCAATGTACAGAGTTTGACAGTGATGTCACCTTTGCTATGGTTCTATCATACAGTCTTTTGTATTGCTGATTTTCTCTTGCTTTCAGAGCATCTTCTACACTTGCTACCAGATTCAAACTGTGATTACCACATTGTTTGTGCGGGGAGAAAACATCATCAGCATCAATTTGTTCTATCTCTATTAAATCAGTAATATTTGTTTTTAATAATACGCCATTTTCGTAAATATCTTCTATTCTATGTCACTGTCACCTTCTGTAGTATTTTAAATGCTACCAAAGAAAATGTTTTTACAAAATTTGCAGTAAATTTTTTATCGTCGTCTTTCTTTAAAACGGCGTCAATAAAGCACAATTTAATAATTTGAGTATTCATATTAAATAATTAATCAAACGCAAATTATCTGCATCTCGTACACAAAAAAAGCTCAAAAAGAAATGGCGTTGACGCGGAAACTAATAAACAAACTTGAAAATAGGGATGTGCAATTAAAAAGATAAACATTAATTCTGAGGAAAAGTATGTTCAAGTAGTTAAAAAAATAGTTAACTATGATAGTTACTACTAAAAAATTTAGTTAACTAGTAGTTAACAACTATTCAAAATAAAATAGTTATTAACTACTTTTTGATTACTAGTTTGTAGTTATTAACTGCTAGTTAATTATTTGTAGTTAGTAACTACCCATCACTGTAATTATCGAATATTTAATTTATTTCTATCATTGAAGTGAAATCACTGTTTGTTTTTTAAGCAACAGTAGAGCTTCCTATGACTATGAAATCATCAAGACTTAATATAACAGCGAACACGCTGCGTCCAAATATCAGCAGCTGTGCAAACATAGTCACACTTTTTGAATGTCTCTAACGATTTTTACATGCGTTGGTACCACGTGTTTTGTATACTTTTTATTATTTAAGCTCACATCACTCGAGCTTTAGGATTCAAACGGCATCAAACGTCACAATTTTTGTTCCTCTACAACTGCAAGTGACTGCATGTTGCCCAGGATTGTCGGAATCGAATTCCAACTCCGGTCCCTCAAAAAATTTTGACTCCGGGTAAAAATTTCCAACTCCGGGTTCCAACTCTCAGAAAAATTTTTTCAACTTTTACAATTTTACCTTATCACTACTAAATAAAAAATACTCTTAAATGACCTAAAAATAAACCAATGTAATTGTTTTCTTAGTAAAATCACTTATTTATGCTTTAAAACATATAGAAAAAATTTATGTAATTTATTCACATTACTAGCATTTTTTAATATTAAAGATGATTGCATTAAACTACACGTATTTATCATCTAATGAACGCGATCATAAAAAAAAGTTCAGTATTAAAAAGAATTATTATTATTGGTGTGTTTGTAAGCGCCCTTTAAAAAGACCTCAGAGGCGCAAACGATTATTGCACTACGTTGCTTAGCACTTTACTAAGGCAATGCAATGAATAGAAAAAAAACATTAGCACGAGTAAGCTTGAACAAAAAGATCGTGTTTCAACCTTCAACGAAATTGAATGACAGACACAAACAGCAGAACCCATTAAAGAGAAAATCTTTTGAACAAAAGCCAAGTTTGTGTCAGGTACAAACAGTAAACCTGAATTACCAGAGCGCAATATTTGACTTATCAGTGGCATTGTTCTAAGAATGACTCTGTCAGTTAAATATTAAATATTTAAATTTTATTAAATACATTTAATAATCGTTAAACATATCTTGAAAATAACTCTCTGATAAACCGAAACCAGCGTAGAGCAAAAAAATCTTGCAGTCTAATTTTGAACCGACTATAGTCTAGCCATACTTACACCAGACAGTCCGTAATATAGACTATTGCAATAGCTTATTTTTGAGTGGATAAAGGAATGAACAAGACATTGAAAAACGTTTGATGAGTCTAAGCCTACGCAATTGTCCAGTGCATTCAGCATTCTTTCGAAACTGCCTCAGTGTGAACATTAAAAGAGATGTTATTATCAAAAAATCCAAGGCTGCGTGCAGATGTGCAAAATTCAACGTCATAAGCACCAAGTCTAATAGACTCAATGTTTATTTCTTCCAATTGCTGCCTAGTGCCAACCGGTAAAAAATGAGTTTTTGATTGATTCAATTTAAGCCTAATTGCCATAATCCATTCATTATTAATTTCCGAGAGACGTGATCTTAGTCTACAGACAGATCATCAAAACGACAGAGGCACTAGCAATGATCTGAATATCATCACCAAAACCATGATATTTGAAATTATATCTTTCAATGATTTTGAAAACATCTGCAGTGTACAACACTAACAGGAGGGGCCGAGAACCGACCCCAGTGAAACACCGTATGAAACAAATTTAGCTTTACAAACACAAATCAAACAAGGCCGGGTTTTTGTAGCAGTCACATTTTACGTTAACTTGTGACTGGCTTCATTAGTTTGTTAACGCAGTTCTCAAGCCTAGCTTAAAACCTTGTTCTGGTACATTCCTATAAACAAGTCAACAAATTATTTCACACAATTTTGAATTTATACCTCTTCATTGAGTTTTGTAAATACTATTATAAACAAACAAAAACATGGAAACGAACAAAAAACTTAAATCTGTGTGATTATATAGATAAATGACATGTTATGTTAGCATATCTTGAAAAAACAATTTTCTCAAAACAGTACTTACTTTTAATGTCTGGTAATTTTAAAAATTAAGTTATAATTATGATAATAATATATCAATCGGAGGGCCTAGCCATGGATATATATTATATATATCCATGATATCCATGGGCCTAGCTATACAATCATTTTGCATATATACAATATGCTTATTAATACACTCTTATATACATGTTTACTTGCAAACAAATGTACAACTTCTAATTTCAATAAGGTGAGAGAATGTGCTGGCATCATAAATTACGGAAAACTAGTTTTAGTTTCTACGGCCGATACATACCTACCTACAACACCAAGAACTACAAATGACAAGTCTAGAATTTGAAAAAATGATTATTTTTTCAAATTTAAAAAAAAATTACGTAAACATAATTTTAATTATTAGGACGTGTTTTTTTTAAAGTTTAGGCATTTTTATTGTGATAAAATAATGATAAATAAAGTTTGTCGTTGTTTTTAAAAAAATTGTAGAAAAATTAAATGTTCTGGACGGTTTAAAAAATTTGCGATTCATTAAAATGTTTAAATTAATTGATGTTTTTATGCACATATTTCGGATGCCGACAATTTTTTTAATTCATTTGTCAACGTGCTGATCAATATTTTTTTCTGCTCATTTTCTTTTTCGAGTTGCTTGAGTCGAATCTCGTATTTATTAATTTTCTTCGATATCTTGATAAATTAGCGTTTAGTATTTTATATGATAAAATAATATTAAGATCATTGTTAAAAATGTATTTTAGTAAATTTTTTATCGAAATCATTAACCTGATTTTCGCGACAGAAGTCGTAAATATTTTTAGAGAGTAGGCAGCAGAAATGTTTAATGTCCTGAGTATTGACGCCACCGATCAGATCTGGAAAACTTTGAAGAAAAATTTTGTCGTCAGTTTTTTGAACATTTTCGTCATTCGAACGCCGAGAATTGGCGTCATGCAGAGAGTCTGATATCAGGTCGATCAAATTTTTATTTAATATGTTTGTATTGGTGTCTGAAGAGCCATTGGCACTGCTGTCGAAATTCCTTGATGCTCGTTTGCTGTTGTTTACGGCAGAATCGTTTGAACTTTTCTTTAGGTCTTCTATATTGATATTGTTTTGCAATGAGTTGTCAAAAGGTGACTTATTTCTTAATTTATTCCCTAGTCCTACATCGGATTTAGAAAGATTAACTAGAGTGGCGGTCAAGTTAAGCCATTTTTCAGTGGTTTTAAGTTGATTGCACTCATTAGGAGAATAAATGTTTCTTAATGTTTCTTGTTTTTTCAGCTCATCCAATTTTTCATTTAACTTTTTCTTCTTGTGCTCGTCTAGCTCTTGTAAACGCTTTCTTCCATATTTCTTAATGAGTTTCTGTAAAAAATAAATTTTTTTTTTTATAAATTTTAACAATACAAAAATCTTCATCATAATTGGCAAAAACAAATGCCATCAAACATTTTCTGCCATCATCTATAAGTTAATAATTAAAATTATTCGCCAAAAGAAACTCATAGAATTACAAAATGAACCGTATATGGTTTTAGGACAAAAAACCCCCGGACATTTACCCTCCTGACAATTACCCCTCAGACATTTACCCCGGAAAAAAACCCTCCGGACAATTACCCCCCCCAGACAAAAAACCGAGCAAAAAACCCCTGAGCAAAATAACTCCGGACAATTACTCCCCGGGCAAATACCCCTCACCCCGAGATAAATACCTCCTGAACAATTACTCCCCGGACAAATACTCCCCAGATTAAACCCATCCCACATATAAAAACTCTAAGGACAAATAAATTATAATTTCTAATTTATTAGAGCAAATTGAGCTGTTGTTAATTTTCTTTCTAATGCAAAAAAATTAACGTTTTATGTTTTTTCAGTGATAATATTTTTTCCATATCTTTAACGATACATATTTTTTTGTCTGTTAACTTAACTCAATTTTGTCAATATCTTTTGTTGGGAATCATAATCGTTATTATTTTGTTATAAGTTTGATTTCAATTACAGGTAATAATGGCTTCGTTGATTGAATTTGTAAATTTAAATAGAAGAAAATTAAAAGTGCTTTTCGAAGGTTTTATTTATGTTAAACAGAAAGATTTAGCGGACGGTGTTGTATCATATGAATGCGAAAAAAAGAGAAACACTAGTTCGTGCAAGGCTAAACTTAAACTTCGTGGTCATGAGCTTTTGGAACGAATGAACGTACATTCTCATGCTCCAGATCCAGCGAAAAAAAAGTTCTAACCTGTGCACAACAGTGTAAGGTATTAGCAAAAGAAACATTTGAATAAACACAACAAATCGTTGCTAGATGCGTTTCATTAATAATTGATAATGCTAAAGCTAAATTGCCGACTGTTCACCATATACGATGTAATATAAGACGCCACCGTCAAGTTGTTAGATAGGTCCAGGAGTAATTGTCCGGGGGTATTTTGCTCGGGGGGTATTTGTCCGGGTAGCAATTGTCCGGGGGGTAAATGTCCGGGGGGTATTTGTCCGGGTGGTAAATGTCCGGGGAGTATTTATCCTGTTACCCTGCTGCACATATGATGTAATGCAATTCCTGTTTATCGGTCAGGTTTTTGATAAAAATATAATTAATTGCCAATGCTACTTATATACATAAATTAATAAAATTATAATATGTGCTCTACACCCTTCACCTCTGCGTCTGGATGGTCCTTGAATGCCTCCAAAACATCATCACGTGACAACACAAAAAGTTCTGAGTATCCTACCGACCGAACATCAGCTGTTCGTCTGCAAAGTTCGTTTGATGCAACTGCTCAAGTTAAGTTAGCCAGAATACAAACAATTTTAAGTTTATTCATATAGTTTAAAAAATAATCATTTAGTTACTTTATTATTTTATCATTGTGGTGGCTGTTACCATTAATGTTCAATGCACTATACATAAAAGTAATTAATTTCTACCTACTTATTAACTCCATCAAGATTTAAAACTCCAATTTCACCAAAAAAATCGCCAGCGTTCATTTGTTTCAAAACTTCTCCAGAATCACTTTGTATAATATAATTTTTTTACAATAAAATCATTTTTATGGCTGATGAAATTGATTTTTATCTGAAAGTTGAGAAAATATTTAGAGTTGAACCTGACGACCTCGATCAGCCCGTCAGCAATGATGAACATCTCCCTGGCAACCTCACCCTTCCTGCAGATGAGATCAGCAGGCGTGAATATGAATGCTCGCATCTTCAACACCAAGTCGTGCAGAAATTCTGGCTCGCATTCTTGGAATATTGTTACCTTGAATCAAATTGAACAAAAACACTTAAAATTTCAGCTTTTATTTTCAATGTAATAATTTGCCAAATTCCTTTATGACTGTTTTAAACGGGGCGAATATTAAAACTAACTTTTTTAAGGGTTTCCAAGTTGACGTACAAAGCAAGTTCTGTTCGTAGTTTATCAGGAAGAAGGCCGAGAGAGTTCACGTCACCTCCGCCATTCATTCGACCTCTCAAATTTCAAGTATCCAGTTTGGTGATTATTACAAATAATCACATATGTGAATATCGCTATTCTAGTCAGAAGTTTATTTTTTAATAACAAATAGTTTTTTTTTATCAACATTTTGTCTCGATGCTGTCGTATCGCAAATCCTAACGACTAAAACTGACGATCCTCAAAATAAATAAAACACCACAAACTGAGATACTATTCTGATAAGTACCATATTCGGGCTGCTGATGAGACCCCGGTAGGGACGAAACACGTGTCCAGCCTGTCAAAACAAATACTATTTTTTTCTTCTTTTCACTCCTGCTCACTGCTCTTCCTGGTTTGGAGTTATCATTCATTAGCGCCACCGCAACAAATTGGTGACCCCGATGTAATCGAAGAAGCAAACAACGAGAGTGCCCACTCCAATGCGAATCTTTCTGTGGTACAACAACAGGATTGATCCCAACAATTCACCTTCATCCATCACGTTTGCCAACACACACGCGATGATCTGGTTGGGGAATTTTGTCGGATCGCAAATCCTAACGATTACAACTTACGATCCTCTCAAATAAATGAAAACACCACAAACTAAAGAAGTGATTCGTGAGGGCTTTTTAAGGAAAAAACTGCGATACTATTCTGATAGGTATTCTGGTTGCTGATGAGTCCCCGGTAGGGACGAAACACGTGTCAAGCCTATCCAAACGAGTACTATACTTTTCTTTCACTCCTGAAAGTTTGGTTGCCCAGTTGAAAGTTCGGTTGCACAGTCGAAAGTTCGGTTGCGCAACTGCTCGTCTGAACGAGAAAACAAACAGCTGGCCGATGAAGACAACAACATCCGTTGGGATATGCATGAATTATCAAAAGAAAATGATTAGAAGTAAGCATTATTTGTAAAAAGTCAAAATCTTTTTTTCTTGTTCACATATTTAATGTAATTTAATGTAACCTTTTATTCAATTTTAGAAAAAATGCATAAAAGTAAAAATAAATTGTTATGTCCGCTGGAATGGTCTAATGTCGCTATATATAATTAATTTCAATTGACTGTCATTATCTTTGTAATCTTTGCTATATTCGTTATCTTTGTAGAACTGTAAAATATTTCGATTGTAAAACTTCTGATAGTGTAGTAAGAGTAGCGGGGTTGGAGTGGAGTTGTTAGATTGTGGAGTTGCGTTGTCAATTATTGGCGATCGTGTGACATTAAGTGTATTTCTTGGTTTAGTGAATGATTCAGTGTTTCTATTACTGTTGGCATTCGAATAAACGTTCAGACAAGCCTGTGTTTAAAGAAGTTGTGCTTGTGCAACAGAAATCAATGAACCTACGGAATATCGAATAACTTGAAGTTACAACATTTATACTTTCAGTCTGTTAATGGGTCTTTGAAGCTCAAAATGGATCACTAATCTTCTGCTTCTGTTGTCAATTATTAAAGACCGGCAAATTATTTTACAATATCATTTTCAAGTTGGCATATTTACAGAATTTGAAAAATTACAAAATTATGTATGATATTTGGAGGACATTCCGTTAAAATTTATGTGTAAAGCTATTTAGTTCATTATAGTTCACTTATCCTCCTTTTTATTAGGATCATATTTTGAGTTGATTTGTGTTAGCAGCCAAAAATCTTTTCAATTAACATTATTATGTTGTGTTGCGTTATAATATATAAAACTAAACAATTTTTGAATTAACGTGACAAAGTTTGGCGACGTTTACCTACCTGCTCCAAGAATAGTCATACCATCGTTGCACTCGTTTCTGCATGTCGATTGGAACGCTATGATTTCTCATGTAAGTTTTCGCACCATCCTGCATTTATTTCAATAATTTTGTAGTGATTGATAATACATCAACGGCATGGAATGACTATAAAACGTTCCCAAATGGGAAGAAATGGTCATGAGAGGGCCAATGCGTAACATAATTCATGTTATAAACTGTTTGTTAATATGTCATCAGTGTGGAATTTATAAACTTTTCATGTAAATTTGTCACAATCAAAATATTTTCCAGCAATTGTCATTTCCATTTTCAAGTTGGTTATACAAAATTATTAAACTCTTTCGAGTTCTACGAAATATTAACATCGGCAGATTTTTACAAAATTCCTATACCTTTCCATTCGTAAACCATTTTGTTGGCATTCATTAAAAAATTGTCAATGCATTCAATTTCTGCAATCAATCAGAGAAACCCCACTCTACACAAACGCAATACTACAACACAAAAACACAGTCTTACACAACAAAAAAAAAGATTTTTTTTAAATTATTGAAATTACGTATAATTATATTATTATAATTTTGTCTAATTGAACTGTAGAAAATTTGTATTTGATTTGATAAAAAATTTTCAATATTACTGTAAAATAAATAAAAAAAGTTTATACCAAATGTTTTTCAAACTCTTGTCGACTTGCGTTTCTGTTCGTTATGACATTCCCAACCTGTCCTAGAAATATTAATCTTTAACATGTTTATAATAAATTATATAGCAATGTTGTGTTGTTGCGTGGTTGTGGTTGGTGTTGTTGAGGTTTTTACGTTGTGGTTGGTGATCATTGTTTGTCGGTTGGTAAGAGGGTTAATAATAAATTACTTGTTATGTTATTATTTATACGCATTTTGGTATGTTCCATTTAATACTATCACAAATTTTTTTAAAAATATCATCCGTGTAATTTTTATTAGTAAAATGAGAGTTAATTAAACAGTATTCTGTAGCGTATTAATTTAAAACAAAACTTACCAACTATGGTCGCGAAGACAAACACGCCAATCAAGTAACTCATTATTGTGAAAACAAACCTGCATAAAGCATTAAAAAAGATTTGCTACCTTACCATAAATGGAGAAACTCATAGATGTGATGCATGCATTTTTACAGGCATCATCATTGTTTATTCAATGTAACTTCTGCTTCACTGATCAGTCTGGTTTTTATCGCTACCGCCGTGAAATTTTGAAATAAATTTTTGGAGATTTGAAACGATAATTTTAAGCATATCATGTTTATAAAAACTTTTTGTTAAAGTATCATGTCTAAGAGTGTCAATATTTGCAAACAAAATCGATGTGTAAATTTATTTATTCATCGCTACCGTATGTAAAATTTTAACTTTTATGCAAATTTTTAAAAAGGGTGAAACTTGTTGAAAGATATCTAAAATCATAAATAAGTTTTTAAAAAAACTGCTTGCATGTTTTAATAAAAAATATGCTTTGTGAGCAAATAATATCGAATAAATATGTTAACAAATCCAAATTTATGTTAATTTTAGAATTCTATAAAATATTTGTAGAAAGAGTGAAACAAGTTACTAACTGCCAGCTGGTTTCAGGACATGGCATATCACCGATTGTTGTAAGCGTCAGTGTGGACCAGTACAATGAATGAAGATATTTTTGAGCAGCAGAATTTAAATCATCATCTTTTACTGAATATCCCCAAGAGGTTGAAAAATTTTCATGTCGTGACATTAAAAAATAAAAAGCTGCAAACCAGTGGCAACCGAGAAAAAGCACGTGACTCAAGTTTGTCACCCTCCACATGTTTGGGTATGCAGTTCTTGTTTCAACCATGTACCCAAACCTGCACAGCCGATATGCCTTGAGGAATCGAGGAAATCTCAAAATTGGATGAATGCCAGTGTAGATTTGCAGAAAGTCCAGAGGCGTGAGGGAAATAATATCAAGGTAGAAATCTTTCGAATGTGAGTAACGTCTATTTAATTTTTTGTGATCGTAGACAACTAATCCATGCTCTAAAAAACTGGTTCTGAATTGAACAAAAATGTCAAAAAAATATATTAGATCACACAAAACATCTGTTGCGATCCAGACCGCCAGGTGACTCGAGTATATTTCTGTAAATGCCTCCCTGGCAATACAGGTCCACAAGTTGTACAAGATGCTGACTGTTAATATTGATAACCACACTAGCAGAATGGTATCGTCAGGTCCAAAAATAAACTTGAATTCAGTTTTTTCTAAAAAAAAAATAAAACAAAAAATGCGGATAGTTATTAATGCGGAACTCTTAAAATGAAATTAAATTAGTTTATAAATCAAACAACTGAGTTTTTAAATCAACCAACTGAGATGTCATGTACGAACAATAGTATAATTAACATCCGATCCATAAACATTGTTATAGCAGGTGTTGATCATCTTTCATCTTTAGATTACTTTCGGACAGAGAAAATTGAAAATTATTAAAACTTGCTCATAACAAGAACAAACATGAAAAGGATCTGTTTGCTACCAAAAAAAGCTTAGCTAAAATTTTTAACGTCTTCATAAATACACACACATACTTTCACACTTAAATATATAGAGACATAGACAGACACACGAACACACTCATTTTCATTTTCTCTCTCTTCCTCTCTCTCTCAAACAAACACACACACACACACACACATATATATATATATATATTTATTTATTTATAATTTTTTATTATTTTATTATTTACAAGCACAAAAAAGTAAACATGTATTTGTATCAGCGCCTTAACTGAAATAGAATACATAATAAATAATTTTGTCAATAAATAAAATAAACAAAAAAATAAAGAAAGAAAAACTAAAAAATATCATCATTTATCAAAGTTTACCAATTGTTTTTGTTGAGCAATAAAAAAAACGATTTACATGTTAGTATATTTTTGCACATATATATTCACATATACAAACATATTTATATATAGAAAATCAAGCTTTATACACACACACACACACACACACACACACACACACACACACATGGGAAAACACTCAAGCAGCACAGATTTACACGGATCTACCTATACTTTCAAAATTAAACATACTCATACAATTATTCATGAGCAATGCAGATTAAATAGCAACATAAATAATTCAATTCAAATAAAATAAACAGATATCCATCCACCGATAAATTCATCAGTAGGTAAATTTAAATCTCATTACCCTACCTAACAAAACGCTTAATAGAGGAAGAAGTGCAGTAGGAATAATTAAATAGATTATTTAACTAATCGAACCCACTCAGACACACATTTTTATATATACACAAGAGTGGATCTAAACAATGCAGACCAGCAGACCTGGGAGCCAAAATTTTAAAAGTGTTACAATTTTTTGCAATTTGACGACTGGGGAGGAAATTATCAAAATTTTGTTACAAAAATAGATTAAGCTAGCGATGTTTTTTCTTATCACTCCCAATTTCGGTCAATTTTGTATTTAAAAAATGTGTTTTCCTGTCTAAAAACTGACTCTGGCTGCAGAAAAATTCAAACTGACGATTATAAAGAATTTCAATTTCTAGATATTTGAACAAGATGGTCAGGTTACGTTATGTAGAAAATGGTTGCTTCTTCAGTGGAGTGGGTTAATCTTTCCAGTAGGCAGATTGAATGAAACGATATTTACTTGATGATACATGCAATACGGCGCTTGCAGACCTGCCAGCTGCCGTCGTCAGCGGAATTTGTGGCGTCAGTAGTCACTATGGCGGTATTTTTCATATTATTTAGATACATCAAAATTTTTCATCTTCAAATCTCATTTAACTCGATGGAAACCACGCAAAAGTTTAAAAAATTAGATGCATGACTGCCGGACGAAAAAGGAACGCTATACAAAAGTACACGGGAGCATGGGCTGCAATCGATATTTGTGCAATCAATCCAATAAAATAGAACAGATTTATACAGCAGCGAAATAAAAATTTTCATTGCTACGAGAATAAATTAATAACAAAAACTATGACGCATCCGATAGAATGACAGGTGTTGAAATTTTCCCTATGCTATATAGATAGATAGTAAAACTTGATTTTTAAGGTTTTATTATAATTTTTAAAAAATTTACTTTTTAATGCAACTTGTTCATCTTTCATTTTACCAAAGCCGTTGCATGATTGTTCCTTTATATTATAAAAGCTCGAATTATTTTCTTTCGTCATGCCGCTTCCTTGTCGAGTTGAAAATTTTTTCAGAAATGAATCTTCTCGATCTAATGGAGGTTTTTTTAAATAATTAGAAGAAAATGCATTTGTCATTTTAACAGAATTTCTGAGTTTCATCCATTTGGAGTTGGCGTTGTCAATAAGAGCGCTTGGTTTTTCAACGTTTTGTTGTGATGCAAATAAGGCAAAATTATTTGAATTATCATACGAGTTCTTAATTTCATCGGATGAAGCCCCAGTTGGATAACTTGATTGAGCATGAAGTTTCAACTTTAAATTCGTCGCTAGCACATTTTCTTCATTTTCTTCAAGTAATAAATTGTCATTAAGAGAACAATTTTTCATGAAATACGATGAGGTTGAGTTATTTTGGTTTTCCCCATCAAAACTTTTTACGCTCAAAAGTTTTACATCATCCGCCGAGTTAATGTTTTTCTCTGAAAAAGACGAGTGAAATTTTTTTGGGTGATTGAATGACAAAAGAGACGTCGTTGATTTCAAATCAAATCTACTGAAGTAATAGGGTAGGGTGGCATCGCGAATTTCGGAAACCGTCCTATCAAATGTTGCCATGTCAAATATTCCACAGTGCTTAATGTAATGTACACGCTGTAACCATAAGCTAACGGACTCAAATTTATTATAAACAATTTTTAATAATTTGTAAAATTTATTTAATCATGTTTAATTTAAGAAAACAAAACATCAGTAATTTTTAACAATTTGTAATTTTTATAATCGTTACAATTGCACATGCGATATAGGTGAGGAGTCCTTTCTATTATGAATGATTCGAAAGGACGTATGAATCACTGCTGCATGCAATCAATAGGTATTAAATAGACATACAAGTGTTTCTTCAATGTTTCATTGTGTTGTAGCAATCATCACATTGCACCAAATACAATGTGTACAAAATTTTCCTGAACGTCTGTGCACTTCTATTGTATTTGCATGTATTTCCTATTATTTATAATAAAATGCAAATATTTAAAATGCAACCGAAGGCGCTTGGCAACAATGTTTCATTTTTGCGTGTTCTTATTCAGTTGAAATATTAAAAATTAGTCCAATAAAATTTAATGGCGAGAGTGTGTGCAAACTAGTATGATGTTTAAAATGTCGGAGATTATGAAGATTAGGTAATTAAAGCTTATTTAATGATTGATGGATGACTTCAGCATATTTCAATTTTTTGACTACTAGGAAGCCAGTACAAATTGAAGTTGAGCTAAAAGTGTAATATGGCATATTAAGAACAAATTCAGCTAGTTTGTTTTGAAGACATTGGAGGGAAATGATTTTGAGGGATGTATCAATTAAAAAAAAGTTACAGTAGTTAATACAAGAGAAAACAAGACAGTGATCTAGGATAGAAACCTAATCAACAAAGAGATAGCGACAAACCTGACGAATCGACCAAATGATAAAGTTACAAGATTTTATTGTAGAAAACATTTGAGAGCTAAAAAGGGAAGAATAAAAAGTAAAGCCTAAGAGTTTGATACTATTTAAAATTGGCAGAGAGGAGCCAGCAACCTTGACAGATGACGAAGAAGAAGTTGTTGACGGTTGTCAAGAACATTTGTCAATCAGTCGTCTGGTGTTAATCTTCAATAACAGCTGTGCAAGCGTTTAAATTATTAAATTGTGGTGTAATAGTAGATTGAGAAATAATAGTAGAAAGGCAAGTGTCATCAGTGATGAAAAAATGCAAAATTTAGAAATAAGGTAAGAAATGGGATTAAGTAGTAAATTAATGGGATAGTAGTAAAGTAATGGGAAATTAAGTAGTAAAAGGGTGTTCAAGAACAGTGCCTTGAAGAACATCCGCCGTCAAGAAAAAATGAAAAAAAAAAAGTAAGTTCGATATATTGGGATTGATTGGGTAGGTATGACACAAATTAAAACAATAAAAAGCAGAGTTCATGATGCCAAATTCTGATTCAGGTTTGTCAAATAAGATTTGATGGTTGATAGCGCAAATGCGGCAAATAGGTCCAGACTAAACAACACCGAGCAGTTTAGGTTTTGCATATGTTTGTCAGACTGTCATCTATGCAAAGAAGAGCTGCTTCAGTAAAAAATCTGGCCTATAGGCAGACTGAAAAGAAATGAATTTAGGAGAATGAGTGATGTGTTGAGGAATTTGATTTAGTGCCAAACGTTTTAAAAGCATAGAAAAAGTTAAAAGATTTAAACTTGAGTAATTGTTTGAAAAATAGTAAAGTCAAGTTTGGGCTTTTTTAATAGTAAAAAAATTTAAGAAAAGGAAGAAAAGGTTGGAAATTTTGGCAAACAGAGGAACAAAAATATGACCAAAATGTTTAAGAAGTGGGATCGATAAAGCATCAAGAAGAAAGTTTTATTAGGTAAGAGGAAATGAGTTCTGTGATGTAAGCAACAGTCGCAGATAGAAAAAATGCAAAAGTAATGCTAGAATGGGATCTGCTAACGAAAAAGAAGAAAGGTGTGAGGAACCAATAGAAGCTGATATAGATTGATGAATAGCATCTATCTTTGGTTTTAGATGTTCAGCAAAAAATTAACAAAGGTCTTACATTCGTCTGAAAAAAGTGGTTGAGAATGAGTAATGAAAAAGATTTGGAAGCGAGAGCCAGAGTTGACAATGGTTATTGAATGAATTAGGCTCATTTTTAATTAAATCTGTTTTTGACTTTATAATTAACACCGTTGCTGCTTCTTTGGCAACTCTAAATTTTGCTCTAATTTCAGTAACGACACATTTCAGTGAGACGGCGATGACAATTTTTTTTGCTTCAACTGCATCAATTGAAAGCCGAATGTAAGCTGTATCAAAATGATGTACAATTTTTTGGTGCATATTTGTCAAGAAAATTGTCAATTGAGTTTAATGTGGTCAATACTGGAGTGTCACCACCAAGATCGTTCGATAGCTCGATATCAGGACATTGCAGAGGCAGATTGGATTTTTTTCAAAAAATAGCAAGTTAAGTTTGCGGTAATTTCGACGTCGACTGATGATGATAGGTGGTAATGGCTTGGCCAGCGATGCGTTGAAAGCAGGGCTTCGAACTGTAATTTTTTTCGTTCCGGTTTTCGGTTTCGGTTCGACTAACAAAATACATTTCGGTTCAGTTCCGGTTTTCGTTCCAGATAAAATTTCGGTTCGGTTCCGGTTCGGTTCAGTTCCGGTTATCGGTTCAGTTCCGGGAAACGTTTTTGCCCATCAAAGTTATTAAATTTTGTAAATGGTCATCACAATCCTACTGGCGCAAATTTGTAAAGCAAAGTAAAGAACACTTATAAAATGATATAAAATTATTGATAAGAAGTAACAAATAATTCTGAATGCAATAATCACGAAACTTAGCGAAAAAAAATTAATTATCTTCCAGACAAGAAATGAAAAGTGAATTTCTTTGACATTACGTGGTGGAACGCGCTAATAAATTTGCGGGCAAATATATTTAATTAATTATATTTAATTGCGTTTTTGTAAATGTTGCCGGTATCGCGTGTATCAGATATTCTAGTTATTGACATATCATTGTTAATTAAATTTTAACTCATTAAGAAACTATTAGTCATGAATTTTTTAAGTTTCTAAATATACAAAAAAATGTGTTCAAATATTTTTTTAGCCAGCAAATGGAAACAAAGTATAAGAATGCATAACATTTTTCAGAAAACAAAAGTATATATTTATATACAATGACTAAAACAGATGAAAAAAAGATAGAAGATTACAAATGATCAAAGATATTATACAAACATTGAAAAATAACAGACTTTTGAAAAATTATTTATAGAAGTGCTCGTTATAAAAAATATATTAACGGCTTCGAACCGGAACGTTATTTTTTTCGTCCCGGTTTTCGGTTTCGTTCCGGTTTTTAAAAAATATTTCGGTTCAGTTCCGAGTTTCGTTCCGGCTAAAATATCGGTTTTTTCCGGTTTTCGGTTTCGGTTCTGTTCCGGTTCGAAGCTCTGGTTGAAAGTGATAAGACAATGATCCAAAAAGATATCACAGACTGTTGCGTTGTTGATGATATTGCGATAGCATGCTGAATAACCTGAAGGCAATAAGCTATGCTGTACAGCATTTGGAGCTTTTAACAATTTTGAATTGGGATGGGACTACCCATAATATTCTTCCCATTATACAAATTTGTTGGAAGCAAAGTTAACGTTTTACATCTATTGTGTTCTATCTAGAGTATTTTCTTTGACAGATAAATATTGATAGGCAGTGAATGATTATAAATGCAAATCTTTCAAGTACTCTTAGTTCAATTCCTAACATACAACTCACAGCAGAGCATCAATATCAAACAGAATAAGGTCATTTATGATTCGAGAATCTATTTTTGGAATTTATCTATTTATATAATAATTGAATTTCCCTGATTGTGACAAAATGCTGAAAAGCTTTAAAATTATGATCTCGCATCAATATTTATCAATAATTTTGTTTTTAATAAAAACTGCCCTGTTTACAAATTTTATCACGGCACGTATCGTTTGTTGCAAGATATAAACATAATATTAAATTTTTGAAACAAAACAAAACTCTTTATTGATATTTTTATTAGTAACATCTAGAAAATCATATTTTATTGTGTCAAATAAAAGGATCCATTGATGCTATCAGATGAAGCATGCAAGCAGTTACAGGAAAAAATGAATTGCAATTTTTTGGAGTTAGTGGATACAGGCGGTCATTCTAAGGTATATTTGATGATAACATGAGCCACAAATTAAAATCTATTTAAAACATCGACCAATTGATGAAACTGTTAGAAGATTTAAATTACTATAACAGGAGATTAGGCTCAAATAAACTTAGAATCAGTGCTTAAGTGAACGTTATAATGTTAATCCTAAGCCATATTAAATTAACTCTAGCTGTTAGGATAAGAATAGAATAATTAAAATAACTTACTAATTAACATGGTAAAATATCATGATTGTTCAACTAATATAAATTTTCCTGCAATCAATTTTAATGTCGTTCTGATTATCATATGATGGTAAAACAGTCGTAACGACTTCACGATCAAATACTTCAGTAGAATTTATGATTGAATACAACATTCTAAGCTTCTTTTTGAGTATTCTCATATATTTGGCATCTTGCTTTGCCTTGGTTAGAAATCTAGCGTAATTTTTTGTTGTAAACCTTAACTATTTAAATTTGAGCAATTTATTTGAAATTAGAAATAACAATTGTGAGCGAAACATAATCATGTTCATATCTCCCCAACGACAGAAAATTTTTAATTTAAGTTGTGCCTTTTTACCTGTACATGACTAGAAGAAAGGAAATTAAGCAAAAATGGTAGTGGTGTAAACTTTTTCAAAAACCTCAAGCTCCACGCCACAGAAAATTTTTTAGTTACGCCAGCGAATAGAGATTTAAATTACAATTTATTCAGTCTTAATGTTCAGTGCATCCAGAATTTTGATGAATGCGATCACACTCGACACTTAGGTTTATTCCTGCACCTCCCCGCGCGGCAACCGAAAATTCGCCCTGAAGATTATGCAGTGGAATGAAGGCAGAAGAAAGTTGATAGAGCGTGAAATAGAAATTCTCAAGATACTTTCCGTTTACAGGCACAACTTTGTTGCGTCATTTGTAGATTCACTAATATTAACGGTATGAAACATTTTTCAGATTTTCAGTTAACAATGGAAGAATCAAATTTTAGATAATTTTCAATTAACTTTCACAAAACTATTTTCAATTCAAGAATTGTATGTACTTTTTTTTATTTTGTATATAAACCAAAAATTATTTTAAAAATTTATTTGGTATTCGTAAACAAAGCGCCGTTGAATTCTTTCAGTGCTTTAAAATTTTATTTCAAATCCAGACTTATATAGAATAGAATATATTGTGTTCAACACATAGAAATTAAAAAAAATAACATTCAAGATAGGAAATAGGAATGACAACACCAAAGTATTTAACTGTTAACAAATACTTGTCGGAGAGCAGCTTAACGGAAAGTTGTTTATAAATATCAATATATTTTTAATAATCAGGAAAGTACGATCTGTCTGGTCTTCCATTTTGTCTCGGGTCCCACTTTGCGTCAGAAGCTGCACACACAAGAAACATTTTCGGAAGAAGAGGCTTGTTTCCATAGCGCTTGCATGCTTCTGGCTCTCAAATTTCTCAAACAACTCCATATTATTCATGGGTAAACTCACATTTCACTTTAACCAAGACCACATTAATGATTTTTTAAATAATTTAAACATTTTGAATGTCAGTAAACTGTAAATAAATAAATCTCTGTTAATTAATTTTTCGTTATAGCCTAATGGCTATTGATAATTGATAAACTTAATTCTAAAAAATTTCTATGAATAATTTTCTCCCCAACAAACATTAAATGTAACTTAGACATTATAGTTACCTACATGTTAACCGATCAAAACCTATTTGATTCGAAATGACATGGTGTGCTTTGAAACCGTTAAGGTCAACCTTTGAAAATAAAAAAATGTCGGTAAGTTTTCGGGTCAGGTAACATTAATGTCGTTTCATAGTGTCCGATTATATAAATTACCGTTTACAGTACCTACACTTTTATATAATGACGTTTAATAATTTTATAACTAAAAATGTGTTATTAAGAAAATTATTTAACAGTATTAATTGTTATATACATGCCGTTACATCTGGTTTTAATGATGAGATAGGCAATCGCCTCGCACCTGAGAAAGTGGGTCTTCTGCGAGGACTTAGCGTGTCCACCAAGCGTTCTTCACTTGTGATTGGCATTATGCAAGAACTTCTTCCACGCACAACACGTTAAACTCCGTTCTGAACTGCAAAACAAGACTGAGTAGTTCACGCTGTATTGTGGTGTGGTGTAGACGCTGAAGAGGAAAAAAACGGGATCTCTAGTTGGTCTATAGACAATAGACGGTCTAAGAATAAATTGCGCAACTTAGTCTACAAGCGTGTACTAGGGTTAGCAGTGGCTTAGGTTATAGGTATATTTAGCAATGTTATGCAAAAATCACAAAATGCTAGTAATTAAAATATCAATTAAAATCTTTATAAAATATTATGAAAATAAATTTTTTTGTCAAATAAGTTCAATAGATAAATTACCAATATTTGACAATGACCAATAAATAATAAATAACAATAATAGGCAAAGATAATGTCAACTTTCTAAATTTCAGAGACGTCCATCTTGGTAACATGATTTTAGACAAAGATAATTTTCCAATAATGATAGATTTTGGTAATGGCTTAATATTGAAAGACAGTGCAGAATTTAATCGCCAACATGTTGAAGATATGAATGACTTCGCAAGAAGCATTTATGAAATGCTTACAGGAAAAGTATGTTGTTACTTTGCTCTCCTGATCATAAAACTAAATTTTTTATATTATCTATTAAGTATTTTGCAGCTGACGAAGACGTTTTAACAAACAAGGACCTATCTTATAGTGCAAGGGATCTATTACGAAAGGTAATTCATTTATAAATAGTTTTATAAATTGAAAAAAGTTTTTCGTTTGCAGACCCTTTTCAGCCCAAAATATTCTGGCTTAGCAGCCGAGCACTTGTCCAGAGAGCAATTTTTTAGAGTTAGTCTTAAATAAAGTCTATTTAACTCTGTGAAAAAGTGGCCATTATTGTTGTTATCTACCTATTGTTAGTGCAAAATTTTGTTTGCTCCATCATATTATGTTTTATATGAATATTTTACAAACATATTCATGGCAATCTTCAAAGCAAGTGTACGAGCATGTTGCAAACGTAATTCAAACTCACAAATCAGCCCAAGGAACAATTCTGTAGCCGTTTCAAAAATTCAACTCATGTTGCATTCAACTTTGAAAAATTACGCTTTTACAACCTAACTTGTATCGTTTTAAAATGATTTTTAGAATGTGAACTGGGACAAACTTGAAAGAAAAGAAGTTCGGCCGCCAACCTGATTGAACATTTAAGCTTATTTGTTTGTTTTCATATTACGACTTTATCGTTGTAATTCATAATGGTAATTTTTAAACTAATGTAACAATTATGATAGATCAAAGGTAAAATGGTTTATTATTTTTTAAACTTCTTTATTCATTTATTTTATATAGTATTATTGAATTAATTATAGAGTTACTGGTGTTACAAAAACAATATATATATATATATATATATATTTTACAATATTCTATAAATTCTACCGAATGTTTGGCGTTAATATGTTTGTAGTTCGTTTTTTCGATTTTTCTCACTAAAGTTTTTTGGTGAACGTTTAGTTTATTAAAATTCAAAATAAACTTATTTTTCGAATTCATGCCGCAAATAAGGCCATATTTCGATTCCGAATGAATCATCATCAGTGCTCCTTGCTGATTAATAATTTCTTATAAATTTAACTTGGTAATGGTCCTTATTTACCATCCAACCAAATCTGAATTTTTTGCTAAAAGTTGTGAAGCCCAACTGTACGGAAAAGCTAAAATTTGATTGCCATCAATTAATTTTGCTGATAACTGATAAACACAATCGACGATCGATGGAAGCTACAACACTGGTGTTGGAAATATAGAGATCTTTGAAATTATAAAATCGGTGTTGGTAGTTACGCGGTCAAGGGTTACAATACAACAATATATACATAATATCATTATCTCTTGAAATTCTTCATTTCTGTTTTCAGTTTTGTTCATTTAAAAATAAATCCAGAACACTTTTTAATTTAAGTGAGCATGCACACACACATTGAGCATGCTCACAACACTGACATGGTAATGTATTTAAAGATGTAAGATAATGCACATTAATTGCGATTAATTAGTGTCTGGTTTCTCTTCTAGATTATCATGTTTTTCCTGTATTCCAAAATGCAAATTGTCATCAACATTGCATTATCTAAGTTTAATTTTTAATATCATTTTTTTATACGCTTGCCAATATTTTCATGCATCCGGTCACTGATTTTAACTCTTCGTCATTTCATAACTTTTTATATGGCAAACATTTTTAATAAATAAACAATAGCAAGTACAAAAAAGTTTAAATTTGAACAAATTTAAATTGTTGGTATTTAATTTAAATATCTGCGCTGGTCAAAATGGCTTTGGAAATGTATAAAGATTCGATGGCGCAGATTGAAAACAAAAAAACAGACTTTCAACTTTTGATCCCTTACTGTTTGCAAATTTAATCTTTTAAAATAGACAATGCTTTTTTAGCAGATTATAAAAAGAATTTGAAATAATTTTACGCTTTGTTTTCAGCAATTTGTCAGTACCCAGATAATGGTAAGTGCTGAACAGAAACTTTTACGAACATTAAGAAGATCAGATGTTGCAGCCAGTGACAAGGTTTATTACACTGTTCTAAAATTTTTATAAACATAATTGTCTACTTTACAATTCGATTGTAAACTATGTAACTATATGTGGAAAAATAACCCAGAAGTTGTCTAACGACATGAAAGCGATATGATTGGAACTTTGCTCGTTCTCTGCTTATGCGTTTGTTTGCTTACTCATCATAATTTCTTTATGAAACTCATTAAACTGTAAACCTATACAGTCATGCTGCACATAGCTTTTAATACATGTTCCACATACTTCTTATATATATATATATATATATATGTGAACTCTTTGCTCGTTTTCTGCTTCTGCGTTAATTTGCTTACTCATCTTAATTTCTTTATGAAAACTCATTAAACCGTAAACCTATAAATAGTATATATATATATATATATATATATATATATATATATATTCTATAAATTCTACCGAATGTTTGGCGTTAATATGTTTGTAGTTCGTTTTTTCGATTTTTCTCACTAAAGTTTTTCGTGAACGTTTAGTTTATTAAAATTCAAAATAAACTTATTTTTCGAATTGATGCTGCAAATAAGGCCATATTTCGATTCCGAATGAATCATCATCAGTGCTCCTTGCTGTATATATAGGGAAATATTGACTTTGTCAAGATGACTTTGACGTTGTAAAAATTAACTTTGGTGTTGTAAAATCGAACTTTGATGCGAAATAGGTGTCAGGTTTCTTAATTGGCTGGTCATCTTCTTTGGTCCCCTTTCCTTCATCGATAGCATCATATTCTTCTTTGTCACTATTTACGATGCTAGTTTTTATTACTTCTTTGTTTTCGTTGTTGGTTAAGCGCCGAGTTGGAAGTGAGGTTGTCATTTTTTGCTGTATATTTATTTTTGGTTTATTGATGTCAATTAGGACTGCTTCTGCAATTTTAAGATGCGTGTAGTTGCTGTTCTGGTATATTATTTTGGTGTTGCTGTCGAGGATTTCACGGCTAATTGTGATTGAGTGTGTTGAGTCAAAATGAGATTTGATAGCACCACTCTGTTTATGCATCGTAAACCTTCTAGTCAGTGAGGTAGTAGTAATCCCGATATATGAGTCATGTTGACGTGCACAGCCGTCAAAGGGACAATTAAATTCATATATTACGTGATTACGCTTTAACTCAGAGTTATCTTTAAGACTGCAGTTGTTTTTCAGTATTAGGTGAGACGTCTTTTTATTGTTGTAATAAATTCGGAGTTTAACTTTACTATTTGGGTTGGTTGGTGTGACATTTTTATTGATGATATGTTTAAGAATAGCTTCATCTACCTTGTATGCTGTTGACATGTGATTTCTGTAATACAAGATGATGTCGTTATCTTGATTGTTGGTACTAGGAAGGTTATTGCTGTGTAGTAATTTGCCTTTAACAATCTTTTCAATAGAGTAAGTCTTATATCTATTGTTTACAAGCAGGTTAGTGACTCTCTTTAATTCAGCGTCGCGATTTTCAATATCGGAAGAGTGTGTGAATGCCCGTGGCGAAGAACGATTCAAAACCGCGGTCTATGTCAAAGAAACGAATACAGGAATACCATATATATATATATCAAAAATTCAACACTACTTTCAACATTGTTCAACTTTTTCAATAGTCTGTTACCATATATATATATATATATATATATATATATATATATATATATATATATATATATATATATATATATATATATATATATGGTACACATGCAAATTTTAGTTTTGGTCTTCCTCCTTCTTCTTTCTCGTGCCTTATCCTTTCAGGACATTGGCGACCATCGACCCTCACAAAACCCGAACTTTAACAATTTGCAGTAATTGAAATGTGGTGATATTCAACAAGTGACACAAGGACTTCACGAATGTTATTCGTTGTTGACCGCGATTTCTTTTTCCTGCAATCTTTCCAGTAGTTGTCAGATTTTCCATTCTTTCCATCCGCATGATGTGACCAAAAACTTCAACTGCCCCAGTCGAATTATCTGTAGTAATTTCCTCTTTTCATAACCGAACTGTTTTAATACATCCTCATTCGATGTATGAGAGGTCCAACTAATTTTCATAAATCTTCTCAAAAACCACATCTTTGCAGCGTTAATCTTTTTTATCATTTCTTTAAAAATTGTCCAGGACTCAGAGCCGTAAATTAGCACAGGAAAAACGTAACATCCTAACAGTCTTAATTTTGTTGATATTCTGATTTTACTGCTGGCGAGGATGTTTTTCATTTTAGAATATGTATTTTTCGCCATAGCTAAACTCTTTAGATATCCATATCACATTTACAACCTGTGGTAATCAGACTTCCGAGATAATTGAAGCTGTTGACTTATTTCACCTGTTTACCATTAATGATTATGGAGCAGATCGGGGCGGTTTTGCTTTTACTGATAACCATGCACTCTGTTTTGTTGATGTTAATTTGCAAGCCTTTTCTTTCACTTTTAAAAACCAGCTTGAAAACAATTGTTTGCAGTTTTTCCATTTGCTATAACAGCTGTATCATCAGCATATCTTACATTGTTAATATTCACGCCTCCTATGGATATTCCAGGTAGATCTTCTATCTTTTTCATCATGATCTCGCTATAGAGATTGTAAAAGTCTGGAAAGAATACACAGCCTTGCCTAAGACCTTTCTTTATTTTGGCAAAATTAGTCATTGTGTTACTAACTTTCATCGCTGCTCTTGGTTCCCAATAGAGGTTTTTGATAACTTTCGTTTCTTTTCCATCATTGTCTAAATTTTCCAATATTTCCATAAGCTCCACGTGTTTCACGCTATCAAAAGCTTTGGAGTAATCGACAAAACATATAAACAAGTCTTTCTTCATTTCAATTGTTCGTTCACTGATCATTCGTAGCATGAAGATAGCGTTTCTTGTACAACAATCTTCTACAAAACCACATTGGACATTTGAAATTTCAGGTCTGATTTTTCTTTGTCCTCTCATTAGAATTCTCAAGAGAAGTTTTGTAAAATGACTCATCCAGCTGATTGTTCGATGTAGTTCACATTCCGTTGCATTAGGTTTTTTTGGCAATGCAATAAATATTGACTTGGGTAGATTTTCAGGAATTTTGCCGCTGTCATAAATCTCATTCAAAATTTCTGTCACTTTTTCAATGCCAAATTCATCAAGACATTTAATTTCTTCAACAATTTTCTCATCTGGACCTGGCACTTTATTCGATTTCATTTAGGAAAGGGTGGCACGAACTTCAGATCCAAGTATCTTTGGTCTTTCTATATCTTTTTTTTATAGGAGGCTTTTCCCCAAGGATATCATCAAAAAAATCGTTAATTTATTCAGTTCATCTTTCAAGTACTTTTTCTTTCTCTAAGATTACTTCACCGGATTTAGCTTTTATGCATCCAGAAACGGTACAAGCCCTTTTTCCAGTGATGTTTTTATACATTGCATTTGTATTAGTTTTTAATCGTTTCAAAGATTTCGCACTTGCCATTTCTCCTTTGCCTCTAAACACATTTTTTGAATGTTTTGTTCAACTTTTTGTAATTATCAGGATTGCAACCTTTTACTTTTCTTCGTTCATCCATCAGAGATACGATGTCATCCGTTATCCAATTCTGACCTCTTCTTTGCTCTTTCACAGGTATAACTTCCCTTGCTTGTTCTGTGAGGGCATCTCTAAATATTTCATATTTAGATTTTTAACATCTTCCGTCAATAAATGAAACGATTCCGTACTTCAATGTTTTCTTGACCTTGATCTCATCATTTTGTAACAGACAGACAAAATTTAAATGTTTTGGGGCCAATTCTCTCTTGATTTTCTTCAACTTTATCTTGATTTAACAAACAACTGGATTATGATCACTGCCACAATCAACTCCAGGGTAACTTTTGCATTTTAAATCAGCATTTCGAAATCGTAGTTTTCGGTAATCTTCCGAATTATTTCAAACTCCGAGAAATTTGGGCTGAAATTCTATATGCATTTGAATTATTCATGAATATAGTAATTTTCAAGTATAGAATAGCAGCAATGGGATTCTGGAACCGATTTCCCTCAAAAATCTGAGCCTGATAACATTTGCCCAATACCAAAAACAAGCACACAAAATCGAAGTCACCAGAGAGCAGACAACATTTTTTTCGCTTCCAGATCAAATACAGAGATGCCACGTTTCTGGGATTATAGCAGGAAAGGTTTAAAAATATTAAAAAATGCTTTACTAGTGTTTATTTCAAAACATCTAAAAATTTTAATCTGACGTCGCGTCAAAACTCGATCTGAAATAGATTGAACATAATGATCCATGATTGTCGACCCAAAATCGAACTTTAAATCTGAGTACATGAAATGGTGGAATGATTTCAGTAAAACATATGGAGTCTGGCGAAAAGTAAGTGTCTTTCATGCTAATATTATTTTTACAATATTAAAAACATCACAATTGTCAATATATTTAATTTAATAAATAATAATCAATGAGTGGTGTGAAAAAATTTGGATAAAAGGTTATAAATTGAAATGAGTTTTGTCACGTATTTCAAATATTTCAACAACATCCACCAGAGCTTTGTTTGACGGGCGTGCTGCTTGTTATCTTTACATTTGGTTTGTCAGCTGACGGTCCCGTCGGGCCCATCCTACTTTTTATCTCAGCTGCCATGGTAACAAATGCCTGCTCCACATTGGTAGCACTCTTGGCACTCGTCTCCAGGAAAGGTATGTGCAACTGATCGGCATACTCCTGGTAATTAAATTAAGCTATCGCTTTTAATATTCGCAGTAGTAAAGCAAATTATTTCATCAGCCAACGTCCAGCGATTTAAATCATATTTAATACTGAAGAAACAAAGGAACAGTTAAAATTTACAAAATTATCATTTTATCTTCAGCTATTTTAATTTTTACCAGTTTCAACAATAAGCTTGATTAAAAATAACAATAACATTTTTATAGAAAGTAGCTTAGTAATCACCCAGTCATCAAAAATTTAAATATTAAGTGACATGAAGTATCAGGTCAATTTGTTAAATCGACTTTATTGTTAAAAGACTAATTCCTTCTAATAATAAATGAATGTAACGCATAGAATGATTCAAATCTCAGCTTTTTAATTTATAATTTCACTAAAATTGATGAACGCATGGAATTGGCAATGGAGTCTCACACTACAAGCCCTCTGCTTTAACAACATTTATAACATCATGGCATCAACATTCAACCATAAAGAAAAGTAAATAAAACTTTTGCTGTGGTGTAGTCCACAACTTTCTTCAATGTTAAATCGCTTTTGTTGCCGACTAGTAGTTTGTTGACATTCTCACTGGCATAGCGGTCAATTTCCTGCAGCCATTGCTTGATGTTGTTGAAAGATTCCTGTTCAACATTATTTCTATTTCAGTCACAAGATCATTTTAATGTCCAATTAGTCAGAAAAATTATTACAGTTTCTATTAGAAACATCCTAATAACATTTCCTGCTAATGTGAGTGCTGAAGAATTTAAGCATCTTTTTATTAGAACTAATAAATCACCAAAAAGTTGCAAGTCAGCTTTAAGTCATTAATCAACCCTACATGAGTATGGTCTGCGTAATTCTTCATCTAATGACGACCATTGTGTGTATAGTTGAACGGCTAGTCTCATTTGTACAACGTTATATATTATTATGCTAGATTTATAAAACTTTTTCTAAAAAATATAATTATTGAAACTTTTCAATGACACCTAATAAGAATGCATGAATTAAACTGATGTTTCAGACAATTCGATCATGTTAGTTTATAATAACAAAATTACTCAAAAACGTGTAAAAGTGGACTAAGTTGCATTTGTGGAAATTGAAAAAAAAACTTTGAGAACATCAGAGAAAAATATACCATGCATGAATCCTTAGTAGACAAAATTTACAATTCTCCAAAATTATAACTTGATTTTATGAGATAACAAATGGTAATTAATAAAATACTAAGGACAGCCATAGAAATAAATTAAATAAATAGAAAGGTAGGAGCACGGACTTGGTCTGTGACATCATAAACAATGATGATGCCGTGAGCTCCTCTGTAGTAGCTTGATGTGATGGTTCGAAACCTCTCCTGCCCCGCTGTGTCCCACTGTTCAGGCATTCCAACAACAAATCTTACGTTATTACCATGAATGTAAAATAATTTGGAAAAATAACTTATTCTCTATTATAGTTGTTTTTTTTTACATACAACAAAACTAACATTTTAAAACCTTACCCGAGAACTTATATTGAAATTGGGTTGAGAAAATATATTGAGTAACTTAGCGACAGGCTGTCAGATGGGCTCTGCAAAAGAGAGCATGAATCATGCATGAGAAAGATATAGTAGGTTAATTAGAAGAAATAGAAAAATAAGGCTCTATGAAATTTAATTACAAAAAGTCATTTGAATTATAATAATGATGCGTAATTAAACTAGTTACATTCTAAAAACGGCAAGTGAAAAATTGGATTTGTTAAAATAGAGAAAACCGAAGTGAGGTGTGAGTAGATCGTTAGCTGGATTTTATAGCTTTAATTTTTACATAGCGTAACGGTTTTCCACAAATAGCCTTCCATATAAGTTCATCAATAGTGATGCTATCATCAGTGCAGTGAAGAGATTTTTGTATGGAAATCTGGAAGCAAAAGGCAGAGGTGAGCAAGGAATTACAATTTGTATCAACAAGTAACAAATTAACAAACTGGTAGGAACCTATATTTATGAATTAGCATACTACGATCGAATGCATGGTCCGTCTTGATTGACATGAAAATGATTAATGCAGCACTTCTGGTCCCAACTGTTGCACCTGGGACTTGAAAATGATGCCAACATTACAATGCTACAAGTCTGACTGACAAGGTTGTTAAACAAGGGATGTTTTCCAGGTGAAAATTGTGTGCAGGTTAATAAGCTCTTACTGCAGTCACAACCAACATTTTTTAAACCTATGACTATGGTTCACCAAATTCTAACAATGCAAAAAGACAGGGTACATAGATTTTTTATCCATGGACAGGAGTTTATGAAATGCAACTTTATTAAATGTAAGCTTGCAGCATGTAACTTTGGAAAAAATGTTCTGAACAGTGTTTAAATGATTGAAATTTAAAAACTGTGAACATAAAAAAATATTTCATTTAATTTAAAACAATAAACTCAAATAACTGTTAGTTGGTATGTGATAAGTAAGATTAAAACATATCGTTGAATGTTTTCATTAAATAACTTTACCACATGAGGTCATTTAAAAAAACATTGAGAACTCTCATGAGTAAAAGATAACACCACCAAGTAGGACATGAAGTAGCAGAGCCATCTTTAATGAGAGGTTTAATGAGAAGAGAAACGAAAGTAGGTAAGATCTGAAGCCAGTCACATGACAGATGAATGTTTGTAAACAAACAAGTGGGCAGTTATAATGACTAAACAAGATTATCACTTCACTCTAAAGATTCAAACCTAACAGTGCCCAACTAACTTAAACATAATTAAGAATTCCATTTTCAAAAATTTATATTCAATTAAAATTCAACACAACATCAGGTAGCATTAACTTGATGACAATACAAGCCATAGTAATAATGTCAATAATAACAATAACAAAAAATAAAATCTATAATTATAGATTTAGAAGCAGATTTTCTATTCTGTACAATCAACCAACCAACCAACCAACCAACCAACCAACCAACCAACCAACCAACCAACCAACCAACCAACCAACCAACCAACCAACCAACCAACCAACCAACCAACCAACCAACCAACCAACCAACCAACCAACCAATCAATCAATCAATCAATCAATCAATCAATCCAATCAATCAATCAATCCAATCAATCAATCAATCAATCAATAATCTCGAACTAGCAAATGAAGAATTTCTAGAGAAAAAATAAAGTGTAGGAACAAGAGTAAAGTGAGCTAAATGAATGCACATTTATACACAGCACAAAACCAAATGAACCCTTTCAAACTAAATTAATGAGTCCAGAAAAGTCAAAATCAAACATTAGACAGTCATCCACTCACAGCATCAACTTACTATTTGCAGTTTTATCGTTTTTCCATCTAATTCAATTGTTCTAATTTTCTTCAGAGGTAAAAAATTGAGTTGTTATTTAGCGTGTCAGATCAATTGAGAAAATGAAATAACCTACAAAATCAACTCCTATCGTGCTAATGTAACTTTCTGTGTATGTGTCATCCTGCAAGCAAAAATGTTCAACATAATAACATGAGTACAAATTATTATCATCAAATACTGCTTCACATTAATTAATTTAATTCAATCTCTCTCAGCCTCACAAAAACAAAAGTCTCTGCAAGAAAGAATATCTTCACATAAGCAGCAAATGATATAAATTGAAATTATGAACTTGAGCCTATCTAAAATTTAAAAAACTATCCAGTTATGTAGAACAAATCAAAGGTATATAGGTCACATGACAAGTTATTCAGTCTTTACAAACAGCTGGTTTCATTGCAGTAAATCCAAAAATTTAATCAACAAAGAATAAAAACGAGATTTGTAAAAATAATCTTTACATGTGCACAGAAAGAAACAAAAAGCATTCATAATCATCCAAGCAATTGAATACAATAATTATTTGTAAACAAATTAATTTTTTCATATATAGTAACTCATTTTGTCATTTTTCTTTATTTAAATTTGTTACATGTTGTCTAGCCAGAGTTGGCTATTTTAGACACGAATCAATATGTCATAAAAAATATTGATCCCAAGTTATTTACTATGGGTGTAAAACATTTAGTTATCGCTAAAGCATTCGATACAGTATGCCATGAGGTTTTATTGAATAAACTGCTCAATACAGGTGTGAGAGGACATGCTTAAATATGGTTGGAGAGCTAATTGTCTGAAAAGAAACAATACATATTGCTTGGCGATTGTAATTAATCCTCATCTTCACTAGAATGCGACGCCCTACAGTGCTCAATCTTGGGTCCTCTGTTATTCATTTCTTTATTAATGATTTATTTCTACCATCATTTTTATTAAAGTTCAACGTATATTATATGCCAATGATTCTTCAAATCAACTGGAATAATTATTCGACACAAAATAATATGTTATTTGTTATATGTTTAAGATTTACTCTTATACATATTTTCTGGAGAAATTGCTCAATGCCGACTGAATGGAACTATAGCATGACAGTCCCGCTATACAAAGGCAAAGGTGACCCATTGAACTGTTCATCATATCGGGGTATACGTCTGTTAGAACACTCCCTGAAAATTGTCGAGAAAATCATTGAGAGAAGATTAACGTCGAGCATCACAATCGGAAAATATCAATTTGGTTTCCTAGCGGGGAAATCAACAATTGATGCAATTCACATCCTTCGGCAACTGCAAGAGAAGTACCTCGAAAAGCATCAACAACTATCACACATTTTTGTAGACCTTGAAAAAGCGTTTGATCGAGTTCCCCGTGAAGCAATCAGGTGGAGTCTACGTCGACAACTCATTCCAGAATATCTTGTTCGACTTGTGATGGAAATGTATACGAATATTAAGACTCTCGTCAGCACAACGGCTGGAAACACAGATGCATTTGACATCGGCGTTGGAGTTCACCAAGGCTCGATTCTCAGTCCACTGTTATTTATAACTGTGATGGACGAAATCACAAAACCGATAAGCACTGGTGACATTTGGAATCTAATATATGCTGATGATATCGTTTTAACAGCCACGTCTGAGCAGAATGCAGCACAGATGTTTGAAGATTGGAACACCAGACTCGCCGATCATGGATTCAAAGTCAACATCAGCAAAATCAAAGCAATGAACACTGGTGAACCCATCCAATCCACAGCTACTGGACGATGGCCCTGTTCAGTTTGTAAAGCTGGTGTAGGTAACAATTCAATCAAGTGTCAGCAGTGTAACCAGTGGTGTCACAAACGTTGTTCAAAAATAATTGGTACTTTATCTAAAGTGTCCAATTTTGTTTGTCCTGCTTGCATCAATCAACAACAACAAATTCGAAATAGCACTGTTTTTGAAGCCATTAAAATAGAGAAAGTCACATCATTTCAATATCTAGGGGATGTTCTGGATTGTACTGGAACAGCTGAAGCTGCCGTTCGAGCACGCATACGTGCAGCCTGGAATAAATGGCATCTCCTTGCTTCTATATTGATGCGCGTGACATCCCACTACCACTACGATCAAGACTTTATAAATCTGTGATACGTCCGGTGTTGAAGTACCTGGCACACGTCCCAAAGGCCGTCCACAGAAGTNCTGGTCGCAAACAATCGAGCAAGACATGAAAGCTCAAAATTTAAATGAAATGGATACAACTGATCGTCTAATTTGGCGCAAAAAGTTGATGGCAAAGAGGCAAAGAAAACAACGTCTTACCTTGGGAAACCGGGTCTCTGGACGCAAAACGAAGATTGATTGATTGATTGATTTACTCTTATACATAAATATTGGATTAAGACTGTCAGAAATGCAATTATTGATGAAAATCACAGCATGTTCGGCATTAGTTAACTTCCAATTTAACTTTTCGATTTTTCTAACTGTTGATTGTAAACCATTTTCAAGTTTCTTTAGTTCAAAAACAAAATTTTTGTTTGTTTTAGGCATGATAGAACAGAAAAGCTTTTTTCGCTATCCCTATACCATCATCGGTGTTCAAATTGATATGTTGTGGCTGTGCCCAGATGATCAAATATTTTTATACTTTGCCTATTTATTGGTTCCTTGTTTATCCAAAGTGAATATTTAGTTTTACAATCTTTTCATTCTCGAAAAATATAAATATATAAATATAATATATATAAATATATATCTTGTACATAAATCCAGAATATCTTGTTCGACTTGTGATGGAAATGTATACGAATACTAAGACTCTTGTCAGCACAACGGTTGGAAACACAGCATCGGAACAACATATCCACTCTGAATGCCAGATGCTATCAGTAAAGCAGCATACTGACCAACTATCATCTCAATTCCTTTTACAAGCCATAATACCAGTCACCCTTGCCACCACATCACAAGAGAACCACGACCCAACAGAAACATAAAACACACATTATTCAGCAAATATGTACAGACAGTGCAAACCGTTCTGCCCACTGATACCGACAGCAGAGCGTTAAAGGCAGCTTTATCTGCCTTGCATTGCAGTGCTGCGAAACTCGCCTCGGAGACATATCATGCCGCTGTGCTGCTCAATGGATGGCCACCTCCAACACCCAAAATAGACAAGGCAGAGGAGAGTTTGCCCAGAGCGTTGAGAAGAAAACTGGCCCAGCTCCACTCTGGTCACTGCATCTCCCTCAACAGCTACAGATCGAAAATAGACAGTGGGGTCAGCAACATCTGTCCAATATGCCAGTTACTTCCTGATGATGTTCCCCATCTGTTCAGCTGCCCAAAGAACCCAACTCATTTCACGATAATAGATCTCTGGCGTAACCCGGTGGCCGTGGCTAACTGGCTACGGCCTCGTCTGGATCCCTCCAATGATGTCTGACGTTGGAGTTCACCAATGCTCGATTCTCATTCCACTGTTATTTATAACTGTGATGGAAGAAATCACAAAACCGATAAGCACTGGTGACATTTGGAATCTAATATATGCTGATGATATCGTTTTAACAGCCACGTCTGAGCAGAATGCTGCACAAAATGTTTGAAGATTGGAACACCAGACTCGCCGATCATGGATTCTAAGCCAACATCAGCAAAACCAAAGAAATGAATACTGGTGAACCCATCCAATTCACAGCTAATGGATGATGGCCCTGTTTAGTTTGTAAAGCTGGTGTTGGTAACAACTCAATCAAGTGTCAGCAGTGTAACCAGTGGTATCACAAACGTTGTTCAAAAATTATTGGTACTTTATCTAAAGTGTCCAATTTTGTTTGTCCTGCTTGCATCAATCAACAACAACAAATTCGAAATAGCACTGTTTTTGAAGCCATTAAAATAGAGAAAGTCACATCGTTTCAATATCTAGGGGATGTTCTGGATTGGGCTGGAACAGCTGAAGCTGCCGTTCGAGCACGTATACGTGCAGCCTGGAATAAATGGCATCTCCTTGCCTCTATATTGATGCCATTACGATCAAGACTTTATAAATCTGTGATACGTCCGGTGTTGTTATATGGTGCAGAAACATGGCCAATGACAACCAAACTGGAACAACAACTTCAACGAACCGACATGAAAATGCTTCGATGGATGCAACTATTAGTCTAAAGGAACACATCAAATCTACCGAAATCTTGCGTCGTGCTGGTTTAGATGATATAAAGAATGAATGCCGACAACACCGTCTGCGGTGGTTTGGTCATGTCAAACGAAGTGGAAACAGTGCCATAACTTCTCTTGCAGATGTTGAAGTACCTGGCACACGTCCCAAAGGCCGTCCAAAGAAGTCCTGGTCGCAAACAATTGAGCAAGACATGAAAGCTCAAAATTTAAATGAAATGGATACAACTGATCGTCTAATTTGGCGCAAAAAGTTGATGGCAAAAAGAACAACGTCCTACCTCGGGAAACCGGGTCTCTGGACGCAAAACGAAGATTGATTGATTGATTGATTGTACATAAACAAACATATCAAATTCTATTGTAATCTTACAGTTATTATGTATTTATCTTCAATATTGTTATGTTGCCTCATTCATTATTTGTATTATTATGCGATGATTTCTGTTTGTTAATATCTTGTATTTTAGATTTAATTCATTGACGTTTGTTTGTCCTTTTGGAAGTTGTTTTTTCTTTTTCCTGATTAGATAAGTGGTCTGTTATGGCCCTCTGGTCAGTTTGTCATTAAATAAATAAATAAAATCGAAAATTTTATCTATTCACAAGCTTAGACTCTTATTGATTTAAAATTAATTTAATTAATTTAAAATTATTTAAAATAATTTGATTATTTTAAATAAATATCAATATTTTCACAAAAATTTAATAAAATCTCCAACAATTATTCAGACACCAACACAATATACACCTGACTTTCATGTAGCTAATTTTAAAACACTTTTATTTTCTCATTCTATCTTTATTCACAGAATAAAATTATGGTCAGCATTACCTTCTGACATTAAAACTTTGTTAAATTTAGTTATTTTCAAAAAAGGCATTATTTATTTAACAGATAAGAATTTTTTCACTCTTTCAATTGACAGGATATTATGTTTCAATTTTGTTCAACTTTTATGATTTATTTTATTTACAACTAATGTATTGATGTTTGAACATATCAGATTAAGTGATCTGAACCAATGAATTTGAAACTGTTAAAATTGCATAGATATGAAACAGGAATAAATAAATGAAACACTTACAGCAAACCGGAGTAATAGGCATGATTTTCCTACACCAGAATCACCAATGAGCAGTAATTTGAACAAATAATCACTACAAAAAATTTAATTCAACTTTATATTTTAAATAATATTTATCAATATAAAATAAAATGTATAACTTAACAACCAACTGGAAAACAAATGGGACAGATCATTGGAAGGAAGCATACTTATATTTCTCAGTTTATTTTATTCACTAACCATATTAAGAACAAAATAAAACAATAAAAAACCCTGGACGGATTTGCCTACCAGGATTGAATGCCTTTAAAAGCGCATGATGGTATATATGACTATAAGCACTAAACCCAAATCTTACTCTAAATTTCTAAGCTTACCTCTCTGTCTACTTTAGTGTGAACTAAGCTTGCTATGGTAGTCAAGAAAGTGAAGTTGTGCCGGAGATCTCTAGAGAAGGTCCTGGATAGATGCTCAATATAAAAAATAAGCATTGTTGTCAATGACTGACAGTACCAATCCAATTTTTCCAGATAAACTTAATTAATTTATTATTAATGATTTATTATTGGCACTGTATACATAATATTGTTATCAGCCAAAATAATGATCAGACAAAAAACAATTTCAATTTTCTAACTCTCTCTTACAATTTTATAACTTATAAATCTTATTTGGTCATAATATTTCCCATCAGTTTGGTATTGCCAACAAATAATTAATTAAACAATACAATACTACCAAATTGTATCATTAATCATTAATGATTAAACATTAATCAATGCAATCACTATCATCTCATCATCCATAATAAAAAAAAATAAATTGAATCAAACAAAATCTGAACCAAACATATCAAACCACGTCCATACACGAAATGTACAACACCATTATGATACCAATTATGATAACATACCCAGACCAGCCAACAATAACAAAATGAATAGTAGAAGTGATGAGAAAAGGGATCATATGACAAAAACGAGAAACGTCTTACTATTCAGGATTCATGGCTGACATATCATAAAATCGTTGGCAATTAAAAAATTTATTCAGGTATTCCCACTCAAAATTAAAACTTGAAAAAAATTATTTCAAAACAGCAAACAAAACAACAACTTGAGAAAAACTTAACAAAAATGGCTTCCAAATACGATACGTCATACAGCCTTGAACTTATTGACGTCACCGGTACAACGTGGCTCTTTATCATAAATAATCATAACCGAATTTCAATCGAGATATTGCGGTTCACACGGATCCAAATACTTTTTTGTTTAATATTATGCAATTATAACCAGCACTGTACTGCTTACGTGCTGTTTTATTATTTGTAATTTATACGCTATTAGATCGAACAATGATCCACGCTACTCAACATTATCTATAGAAGTTTAATAAAAGAATTGAGCTATAGTACTTGAACCCAACGTTGAAAGGACAGTATTTGCAACCGTTAATTACCTACAACCATTGAATTAAATATAGAAAGTGAACATTGAATATGAAATTTAAAATGAAGCGTTTGATCTGAACTTTGATTTGGAAGCAATTATGTCATTACACTGTAGTTTTACGATGAAAACGATCACCTGCTGAAATTCCTCAGCATCTATCATAATCTATGCGTCGTAACGTCATAGCGTCTTGTGCTTCAAATGAGAGATATACGATAAGGTCATTCTACTTTAAAATTTCATAGAAGTTAAATAAAGCATTTGATCTGAACGTTTGATCTGGAAGAAATTACGTTATTACACTGTATGTTTACACTATAAACGATGACCCGCTGGAGTCTCTCTGCATCGCTTATAAAGGATGCGTGGCATCATTGTTAATCTGGCTACCATAAGAACGTCGTCATTGAATTACGTATAGGAAGTAAAATGCCACGTTCGATCTGAGTATATGGTTATGCCACACTATGCAGTTTCATCTGTTTGCTCTATGCATCTAATTTACATGCCCGGATTCCATTATAAATTTCATTGAAATTCTAATCTCGTTTTCCAATTTTCATATTTGATAAATCTTTTAAAATATTTTTTAAATCACTTAAATTTGACATTATCTTTCACCTGGCTCATAAATTTTACTTTTACGTAAGTTGTCTGTTTTCCTAAGGTTATTGTTTTATCATTTATTTAAAAAAATTTCTTCTTGTTGCTTTCTAATTTTCCAATCTGATTTAATATGTATATTGAAATTTATTTTATTGTAACTGATTGTGAATAATTCTTTTTTCTCATTATTTCAAAAAAGAAGCTGTTTCTAAATCAATTCCATGGATTTAGAAATCATTAAGAAATCAAATTTGGAATCATTCACATTTTACGTCCTGTTAAAAACTGGTGATACCACTGAACTATATCTATAGGGTGGGTGACACTCATCTATTAGTGTATTGTATAACAACGAAATGTTTATACATCAAAAACTGTTAAAAATATTTTGAAAATAACACTCTGATAAACCGAAAGCTAGTAAAGAACAAAAAAACTTGTCATTCTATTGACATATTTAAAGTCATATTATAGGCTACCTGAAACCAACCAAATAACCCAATTTTGAACATACACAATTTCTAGCTAAATTTCCACGCTACAAGTCGTAACGTTGGCTATTGCAATCATAGTTTTTTTTGAGTGTATAAACAAATGTACAAGGCTTTGAAGAGTGTGCCTGTTTAACGATCCTTTGATGGACCTAAGCCTACGTAGATATCCTAAGCATTCTCTTGATACTGCCCTAGTGTGAAAGTAGACAGACAAGTTATTTTCACAAACAAATCACAGATTGCGTGTATATGAGCAAAATTCATTATCAGAACTACAGAGTTTGATAGACTCAATGTTTTTTCCAATTGTTCCTTAGTAGCAACCGGCAAAAACAGAGTTTTTGAATAAATTTAACCATTTTGTCATCATTAATTTCCAAGAGACATGATCTGAGTCCACAGACAAGGTCCTTAAAATGATGAACTTGCAATTATCTACAAGCAAAAGCGTGATGTTTAACATATTTATTGAGAGTTTGTAAAACATCTGCAATGCACAACACAAGCAGGAGAGGGCCGAACAGTTTCAGAACCTGTTGTGCATGACCAGTAAAATCCTTTATCCATTACAGAACAACGACAGATACTGCAAATGAGTATTGGAACTTGCGTATAAGCAATGAGTGTTATCGACACAATGAAAAACAGTGCTTATGTCTAAATGAACAAGCAACGGCAAATTCTCAGCATCAATGGAGTCATACAAATCAGAAAAAACATCCAATAAAGAATGAAACTGGCGATAACCAAACTGGTGAACCGGAAACTGTGTTAGGGTTTAAATGAGTAACAAGTTTTTTTTAGTTTTTATTATAGCAGCTCTGACATACGCAGAACCACTTTCAATGTTACATATATATTATCTATATGTCTTTATTATGTTATTCATATCTCCATCCTTCATCTCTGCTTTTGATACTGCTGATCATACTATTCTCTTAAGGCTGCTAGATCTTTTTTTTAATATTATTGATTCTTGTCTATCTTGGTTTTCTTCTTATCACTGTAATCGTTTTTCTTCTGTCGTTCTCAATAATTCTACTTTTAACTCTTCTACTCTTACTTTCGGGGAACCTCAGGGTTCTATTCTTGGCCCTCTTCTATTTATGCTCTATACCTCTGAACTACCTTGTATTATTAATAACTTTTCTTTTATAAGTTAACTATATGCTGATGATTCTTATATTTATTCTTCTTTTGTTCTATCTAATCTCAATAGTGTTCTTCGTAATCTATCTCAATGTCTTTCTTCAATTATAGCTTGGTCTGACTCTATGTATCTTGAACTTAATCCTTCAAAATTTGAATTAATTTGTTTTAATAAATCTAAACACTCTATTACTATTCCTCCTATTATCTTACCGGATTCTAAAACTCTTGATGTTTCTCACAAGTTTCGTAGTCTAGGCTTTATCTTTAATTCTAGTGTGTCACTTTCTTCTCAGATTAATAGTGTTGCTAGAAGTTCTTACTTTCATCTACGTAGGATAAAAAAACTTTTGCCTTTTCTCGATGATCCTACTCTTCTCCTTCTTGTTACTTCGTTAGTCTTATCTAGGTTTGATTATTGTAACTCGTTCTACTATGGTCTTTCTGATTCTATACTCTATCCTTTAAGCAAAGCTTTTAACTCTGCTGCTCGTCTAGTAGCTCGTGCCTCTTTCTTTTCTCATATATCTCCATATCTTGTTCTCTTGCACTGGCTTACTATAAAATAATTTTTAAAATTTACACATTTATGTAAAAGTCTGAATCTAAATTATTTCCTAAGTACTTATCAGATATATTAATTGAATCTAAACGCGCCTGTTTACGATCGTCTTCTTGTTCTCGCTTCTTCCTAACTCGTGTTAAACACTCTTTTGCTAAATCTGCTTTTGCTTTTTCTGGTCCTTTTCTCTGGAACCCTCTACCTACTTCTCTGACTACTTTTCCATCACTTACGAAGTTCAGAGCGGATCTAAGACCAATTTGTTTGCAAAATTCATTGAGGAGCGCTGTTGAACATCGCGGAAATAGCGCTTTACAAGCTTATTGATTGATTCATCTATTGATTTTAAGCAGCCATCTTCGCCACTGTTTATCTTTTTCACAACGACGTACACATGTATTTATGTGCACGCGCAAGCACCGCATCATATACGCTGAGTATATGATAGCCATTGAGATGTTTGACTCAGCTCGCATTTGAACCTTTTGAGCCATCTCGCCGGCAAAACATGCGACAACTTACGTCGTCTCCTTATTTACCGACCTCGGAAGGATGGACGGTGGCATTGGCCGGAGATCGGCTACCCGGATGAACCCGCAGAACCTGCCGGGTTCGAAACTTCGAAACCGGGCCGTGGGAGTAGAAAACGGACATGCTAACCACTCGGCCACGAGACTCAAGTAGTTCAAACAATATGCGTCATAACTTTATACAAAAACATGATATTCAATAGGTAATTATTAATTAATTGTAAAATATTATAATATTTGATTATTTGATTATAATACAAAATTATAATATTGATTATTGATAAATTAATAATTATAAATAAAGCAATTACAAAGCTGGATGCCTATTTTAAGTATATGGACAATCCATGCTTGCACCAGATGTCCAATCCATGGATATACATATATATATATATATATATATGCATGCTGGTATATGACCATAATTAATGCAGTAATTTGTGAAATCTACAGAATTTCTAGCGTTGGAAATTCTGTAGATTTCATAAATTACTGCATATATAATATATATATATATATATCCATGTGTTCAATCTTAACGACGCAGCCGTTTCAATGTTTTTGGGAATTACCTGTGATTGAGATTTGTTCTGGCTTCTATAGCAAGTGACTCACGTTTTGCAAGTTGCACAACGACTAGTAACGTGGTGGTTGCGCAATTGGTTTTTGCTTCTCATATTTATTGATTTAAGCGCATTTTAACTTACTTAAATATTTATTTTACATATTTACTACATAATTGTTACTAGTGTCGGCGGCTAAATAATAATTTCAAATTTTATTATTCTATTATTATTATATTATAATAGAATAAAATTATAAATTATTATTTATTTATAATTCATTCAACTTTTAAATATAATAATAATATATAAAATTTATAAATAATTACTAAAATTACTGATATTAAAAATTAAATTAATTAAAAAAGTTATAGATTAATAATTAATTAAATAAAGTAAAGTTCAAAGAACAACTATCAATGGATATCATAACCAGCAGAATGAGGAGGCAGATTGCCATCATGAAAGAAATTTTACCTAGTGTTACCACTACCAAAGATGATGAGACGAAGATTTACAAAATCATCGCTACAGTAAACGAAGTTCAGTCTATGGAATTTATTTATTCATTCTCAGGTAAGAAATTTTGTTTATTGTAAATAAACAATATTTACAATAATTTATCGAAATGTTGCATGCTGCATGCATATTATAACAATAATTTATCGAAATGTTGCATGCTGCATGCATATTATAAAGTTTATAATATATTATAAAGGATAAATATAAATTTCCATCTGCAGTAAATACTGCTACCAAACTATTTGAAAACTGCCAAAGGTGTAGTAAATGTGGTAACTATTTACCATAGTAAATTAATATTTTTGAAAGGGGGTGTAAACACATATATGGAATAAACATATACAAATACAAATAGGAAATCATAAATATAATATTGAGTAAACAAAAATATATTGCACGTATGCTCACCTTAACAATTCAGAACTATGTATAATTGTGAAAAGCATAGATAGACAAGTGCTTCAATTTATGTGTGCATATGTTGTACAAAATAATAAACTTCCATTCTCAACTATTTTTTTATACGGTTAAAATTGTGTTAGATTTAAAACTGATAACATGGTTATTGCGTAAAACTATCAAACAATTATACATATTTCAGATGTTTGCAAATATCCGGAAGTGATAGCCAGAGGATTTGTAGTACCCAAAAACTTAACAGAACGCTTCAATTCATTTCCAAGTGACACTTGCATGATAGATTTTATACAGCAACTAATGAAATGTAAAATCTTATCAATGAATGATGAAAACTCAAAAATTCAGAATAATCATTCACAATACTCAAAACCATCTTTTAACAAAAATGCATCAATGAAAACTGCATCTGACGTCATTAACAGAATAAGATGGGACCCTGATCTGGAAACCACAGATTTCTCAGTTGGTTACCTCGATCGCTTTCTGGGAGTATTAGAAAAAAAATTTGATGCTTTCACATGGGAAGACATTGCTTCAGCTGACTATGATGTTCTTGCTATCCCAAAACATAGAATTCAATATTTCAAATATAAAGATAAAATTGTTTGGGATAAAAGAAAAAAAATTGACAATATATTTGGTTCCACTGGTAATGGCCTGAAAATTAACGATATAATCGATGAACAAGATTGTGATGACTACATTGGCTGCAAGTATCCTGCCTGTGAAGCTCTTCAAGATGACGTTTCTATTCTAACTGGCAATGAATTGGATAATTTGCAAAAGTATGGTCCAAAACCATCTCATTTTTTGTGCCAACGGATATCCGATAAAAATGTTACAGAGAAGATATCTGAAATACAAAAAGGCATGCTGAACATTGGTCCTGCATTTGAGGAAAATATTATCCCACCAACTTCTCTGCACTGCACGCTATGTACTGTGAGTTTGAGTTCTCAAGAAGATATATCAACAATCTGTGATATCCTGGACGACAACAAAGATGAACTGAAAGATTTATCCTATGATTTACAGATAGAAATTGAAGGCTTAAGCAAATTTTTCAACAGAGTAATTTATGCTTCAGTTCTACCCAACGAAAATTTAAATAAATTTGTAGATTATCTCAAATACATATTGCAGGAGGGAGGGATCCAGTTATCCGACTCATATGAATTTGTCCCACACGTGACCCTTCTCAAATTAAGTCACGATAGCAAAAGTGAAGTTCCAAATAAGATCTTAGATCCATTTTTAAAAATAAAAATTGGCTCTCAAACTTTAGATGAAATAAATTTGTGTGAAATATCAAAAATTAGAGACGATGATGGATTTTATAAAACTGTAAAAAAATTAAACCTAGATTGAAATTGTTTATAAATTTATTATAGAAATTCTTGAATATGTATGTACATTATTGTTTTTTAAATCCTTTTAATATTGGATAAATGTTCTCAAAGGCTTCATTAATTTCAGTTCTCTCTTTGGCACCTGCAAAATGAGAAAATAAAAAAATTTTGATCATTTAGGAAATTTAACGAATTTATGATAAATCTCGAACTCACTCAATTTTTTGTTTTGTTTCTATAATTTGTTGATAAATACAATGTATCTTAGTTACTAAATCCTAATGTTAGAAACCAGGAGGGAATTAAATAACAAGATAGTTACAGATATCGACACAAATAAACAATATACATCATATCTTGTATTTCGAGGAAGTTATATAGAAAATATGTAACGTATATAGCATTTTCTGCAACCAGTTAGTTACCTGTTAAAACGACCTTTCCTGAAACAAATATAAGTAGCACTATCCTCGGTTTAACCATTCTGTAAATTAGGCCGGGAAAGAGTTCTGGTTCATAACTATAGAAAAAAAATAGGTTTTTAAAAATTACAAAATAATATCTCAAACATTTCATCTTATTTTGAATTAAATTCATGAAATTCTTCACAGAATAAGAGCTGAAGAAAATCATCTGCTGAGTGAAGAATATTGTTTAGAAGGCATTGTTGCTGTTAAGATCAAGACATGAAAATTATTTAAGGATTTATTTATTAATTATATTATATCCAGCAATTCAATAAAAAGACTGCATTGAAAGTGTTTAGTTTAGTTTTAATAATGAGTAAATAAGATTTAATATAAAATATCTAATTATGTTTTCCAATTCTAAAATTACTAAAAAAGTAAACTGGCGATAGTTGCATCCATAGCGTAACATACAAAGATCAAAAAGTGATAAGAACCTGGAAAATTGAGCATGCGTGAGAACTAAACCTTCCAGACGAATGGGAAACTTGACGTCACAACTGCCGACCATGTTTTGAATTTTGAAATCTAGAAATTTAGCCTGTAGATAATTAGTTCCATTATTACCGATTTCAAAATTCTTTATATGAAGATATAATGCATCATTCCAAAAGATGATACTCTCTTTGTTAGGAACATTAAAAATTTTTCAATTGTTAATTTTCTAAAATAAGTTAATTAATTAATTAATTAATTGATTGATTGATTGATGTGGAATTTGAGAACTTTAAAAAAGGAAATAAATCGATAGCAATGTCATACTTCAAGCCTAAAAGAAATAGCTACTCTAATAAAAACCAAAAAAATCTAAAATGATGAGAATGTCAAAGAAGAAAAATCTATGACAGAAATGGAGGAATTAAGAAGAAAAAATAATGTACCAGTGTGAACAACGTTTTCCATTTTAGGAATAGACAAAAGTAGAATAGATTAATGAACAATGAACATATTCTAAATTTTTTTTAAAAATTACCGAAAATCCCAGTTTTTGAACAATTCTTGCATATTTTCTGGCGGCTAATCGTGCCAATCCTTCACTGGAAACAATACAATTAATTTTATAATTCAAATGGAAAAATGGCTTAAAATCAATTCAACAGAATTAAATTCATTGTAATTTAATTTGACCAATTTCACATAGAATAAAACAAGTAATTTATATATAAGAGATGTATAGGAGTGTACAAATATGGCAAAATTATTGTGTGCTAATGAAAATCAAGATGAAGACGGATCTTGACAACTTTCAAGAAATTCAACAATCCTTGATGACAGGGAGGGGATATTCAAATATTTGTTTCCAAAATTTTTGTGCTCACGGTAGGGCAACAAATAAGATTATTATGTCTATTTCCCTTTCAAAAACAGTGCTTTTCCCGTTGAAACAACGAGATTCACTAACTTAACACAAATAACGCCCCCGGTCCCTCTACATCCGCCACTGCATGCACTGCACATCTTACAAAGGTGACCACACCTATTTAAGACAAATTGTAATTCAATGCTACAGTTCTTACAAAAATACTAGATAAATTTTCACAAAAATTGGGAGGTTTATAAAAATAATAGAAAACAATATAAAAATAAATGAGACATTATAACTAAAGCAAGGAACAAGTTGTATGACTGTTCGGGCAGAATTATCAATTCAGCCGTCTATTTCGAGATTGGTAAATAGGTAGACGACATAAACTGTCGTATGTTGGCCGGCGAGATGGCTCAGTGATTCAAATGCTCGCTAAGTCAAACATCTCAATGGCTAAACATCTCAATGGCCATCATATATTCAGCGTATAGGATGTGGTGCTTGCGCGTGCACATAAATACATGTGTACGTTGTGTGAAAAGGATAAACAGCCTTTGTGGCAAAAATGGCTGTTTCAAATCAATGGTTGAAGATATGAAGAACATAATAAAAGATATATAGATAATATATCTGTAACATTGTAAGTGGTTTTGCGTATATCAGAGCTGCAATAATAAAGACTGAGAAAAAAAAGATTCTGAACTGATAGGTTCAGATTCTGAACCTATAAATTCAGATTCTGAACTTATCAATTCAGATTCTGAACCACATGTAAAGATGAAAAAATTGTGCAACAAAATGAATATGAAAATAAATATAAAAAATTTGAATAAGCCTAAATAAGATGTAGCTGAGAAAAGAAATTTGAGTGAAAAATTTTCCATTCATGAAGCACACATACTTTCATTGATCTAAATTCTCACTGAAAGTTTAGAATATATTTTCCAGACAGTAATTAATGTTAAGAGAGCTGTGAACTGATGGTATTATTTCTCTCCAGCAATAAAATATTTCATAGAGATCAAGTTTCTCACCAAACACAATGTCGTGGTGATCATATTTATCTTTATTATTTAATTTATCAATAATAATTACTTGGCCTAAATTAATTGAAATATCAAATTTTTGCACCTTTTTGCTCCTGTGCAAACCATTTTGCCAGAGCTGAATATTAATGCGGTAGTCCTGGGTTCCCTGATCCTCATTATCACTGCTGCAAATCGTTTTGGATTGTACTCAGCATTCCTTGCATGCAAAGCTATTTTTTTCAAATCCAACTTGCAACCAAGGTTTACTGTACAAACAATGTTTCTGTAACAAAAAAATAAACAATGTTTAATTTATTGGAAAATTTGGCATAATTTTAATGTTGCAGTTCCATGTGGTTAGCTTCTCCAATGTTCCCTAGCAAAAAGTAGATCTTAAACTTTTCTCACCAAAGATTGTCAATGAAATATTTAAAACCTCATTCCAATGATTGTAGATAATCATTGCAATGATCATCAGTTGATATAATATTTATATAAGATTGAATCACATTGAAAAATGAATTTAGTAACTAATAACCAACTGGAGTTGAGGAATGATTCCTGAATTTTCAGCAGATGCTGGTGTTGTTGGATTGAGAGATGTCAACACAGAATTATTGACTGGAGTGGGTGCGGTGGTGAGATTATTTGCTGCATTGTTGTTGCTGTTGAAGGCAGAAGGTGGATGAGAAATTGAACTTTGGTGGGCAGGAGGTGCAGAAAAGATGCCACCTCCTGATTGAACAGTCAAATTCGATCCCGGAGGAGCTGGTGTGGAAGGTACGAGATAATTTGTCGGTGGTGAAAAAACTGTTGTTGGGTTAACTGGAGTTGTCGGCTGAAAATAGATAATTTAACATTCCACAAAAATTTATATGAAAAGTTGAGATTCTCAACATAAAATAATTATTAAAAAAAAATTAATATCAAAAATAACCTGAAAGCCCAAAATTGAAAAGTGTGGTGAAGAATTCATTGCAACTTATGCAGATAACTTTAAGACAATCTGCAAGGTCACACTATGTAATGTAAAAAATTGTACTTGATAGTTATACATTTTTTCCAATTTAAAAAATTTTTATTTCAAAGGAAAAAACTTTAATTGTCGGTGGTGAAAAAACTGTTGTTGGGTTAACTGGAGTTGTCGGTTTTGATTTTTTGATTTTTGAACAACACGTAATTCAATTCCATTAAAATTGAACAAATATTATCTATTAAAAATAAAATAGTAAAATTAAGAAAATTGATTCATCAACAATGCAAATATAAACCGTCATACATGTTCTCACATAAACCAAAATTTCTGTAAATGCGCTAAAATTACTCTCCAAACCATTGTTCAAAGTAGCATTTTAAACAATCTTCTGAAATTTAAACATTCCATTTGAAGCAGCATGATGGAGGTTTCGAAAAAAAATTTCTTACAAGACAGCAGTTATTGCTCATTTGGTTTTCGGCAATCATAAAATTTCTGTGAGAAGAACAACTATGCAAGACGTCAAGTCGCACCGGCTCGGACAGATCAGTGCAGAGAGTGGCTCACTAAAAGCAAAGGTGAACAAATAAAATCTCTGTATCGTATAGCAAAACAAGCAAAGCGTACGAAAAAAGTCATAGTTGGTGCCTCATGTATCAAAAACGACAAAAATGAGATGGTTCTTGAACAAGATGAGATCAAGCGACAGTGGAGAGAATACTTCAACCGTCTGTTAAATGAAACAAATCCCATCAATGTCAACTTTGACGCTCCACCCATCAAAGGTCCGATTCCAGACATCACTGTAGAGGACGCATACGTGCAGCATGGAATAAATGGCATCTCCTTGCCTCTATATTCATAGGCGCCGACACCATGGGGCTTAGAGGGGCTCGAGTCCCCCCAATATTTATTCCCTCAGGCCCACAACAATGCTGAGCCCCCCAATATTTTGTTATAAAAATTTAATATTTTTTTAGATATAATTATAAATATTTTCTAAACATTCTATCTTAATTTTCATATTTAGTTCTTGAGATTTGTATACCGTAATTTAAGCAAAAATAGTGAAGTATCTTTGCTATCTATCTTCTATCTTTGATTTAAGTTAACCTTTCATTGTGTGTTTGATAAGCGGACTAAAACTTAAAATCATTTTAAAAACAGATTTAAAATCATTTTTAATTGGTTTAAAATGAAACGTCGACAAACTACAATTGATTTTTCTAAGTTAGTTGCAAAAAATATTAAGGTAAATGAATTCATTATTGACTTTGAATTTAACTTTGTTGGTATTAAATTAATTGTGAATAAATTATCTTGAAGTATTATTATGTTTTAATTGCGTCCAGAGACCCGGTTTCCCGAGGTAGGAGGTTGTTCTCTTGGCCATTAACTTTTAGCGCCAAATTAGACAATCAGTTGTATCCATTTCATTTAACTTTAGAGCTTTCATGTCTTGCTCGATTGTTTGCGACCAGGACTTGAATATGTTTGAAACATATATATATATATATATATATATATATATATACATATATATATATATATATATAACATATATATATTTATTATAACACTATAATGAAACAATATAATCATATGGTATAATATATCATTAGTATTAGCTGGCCCTGGCCTGAGCCCCCTCAATATTTTGAACAAGTCGGCGCCTCTGTCTATCTTGGTGAGGCGTGACATCCCAATACCATTACGATCAAGACTTTATAAATCTGTGATACGTCCAGTGTTGTTATATGGTGCAGAAACATGGCCAATGACAACCAAACTGGAACAACAACTTTAACGAACCGATATGAAAATGCTCCGATGGATGCAACGAATTAGTCTGAAGGACCACATCAAATCTACCGAAATCATCAAATCTACCGAAATCCTGCGTCGTGCTGGTTTAGATGATATAAATGATGAATGCCGGCAACACCGTCTGTGGTGGTTTGGTCATGTCAAACGAAGTGAAAACAGTGCCATAACTTCTCTTGCAGATGTTAAGTACCTAGCACACGTCCCAAAGGCTGTCCTAGGGCCTCCCACTACCTAAGGCCAGCCCTGAAATAAGAATCTAGTTTGAAAATTGGAAAACTTAAAAAGAAACAACCTGGTAAATTCAACAAAATATGTATTTAAGAGAACATACTTCCGATTTTTTGTATTGTTATTATTATTTTTATTTCTTTCAGTCTTTGTTATAGAAGCTCTGACATACGCAGAACCACTTACAATGTTACAGATATATTATCTATATATCTTTTATTATGTTCTCCATATCTTCATCAATTGATTTGAAGCAGCTATCTTCGCCACTGTTCATCCTTTTCACACGACGTACACATGTATTGTTGAGATGTTGGACTCAGCTCGCGTTAGAACCACTGAGCCATTTCGCCGGCCAACATGCGACAACTTATGTCATCTACCCGAAAAATGGATGGCTCGGTTGGCCAGGGGTTGGCTACCCGGATAAACTTGTAGGATTCGAACCCGGTCGTGAGAGTGGTAGACAGACACGCTAACCACTCGGCCACGAGACCCACAATAATATTATGATATTATTAGCAGTGATACTAATAAATAAGTCACAAAAGTTGAAAAAAATCTAAAAATTCTTTAGGTAAGCTTGGAGATCAGAAACTGGTTTTCCCAGCAATATTAAAGCTTACTTGTTTGTTACCTAGCAACCGTATAGTGTATATAACAACCATTATTTATATGTTTTAATAATAATAATAACATAAAAAATATTTTTAAATTTGTTTCCTGTGTGTTCATTCACTCAATTAACAAGAAAAAACTGTACTAAAATAACTCAATGTGAATGGGCATGAATGTTAAAATTATTTAAGAAGAATATTTTTAAAAAAATCAAATGAATTTTTGAGTAATTTGAATAATTATACTTATGCCTCAACTTGTATACCAATATGACTTAGTTATACCTCAATAGATATAACATACCTTGATATGCTGAAGAGTGAGACCAGACAATGTGCGATGGTATGTTCGAGGGCCATTATAGGTATTATAAGTATATGAATTCAAACTTGTTTTTAAAATATATTTTGGGAACACGTCTTTATTTTACTAGCTTAGGACTTTGCTATTAATATTTAGTTTAAATTTTTGTGGCACAGTGGGAGGAGATTATGTGAAAAACCGCTGTTGATTATAAAATTTATAGTAATTTATAATTTATTATTTATAGTAATTTATAATTTAATGACTATAGTTAATAGTATAAATATAAAATAAAATAGATATTGCTGGAAAAACCAGCCTCTGATCTCTGAGTTTACCAATTCTTCACAAAGTGACAAAGATACAATGATACAACTTACAGTCCATTGTATTGTGCCATTTGCCATTGGACCCCTGGCCGTTCTATGGTTAAAGTTTAACCATAAGAACGGCCAGGGGTTAGGGTTAACCATTAAATTAACAGATTAACTAAAAAATTAAAATATTAATTATTAACTATAACTTACATACCGCTTACCGTCGAATACGCTATTCACCACGAAAAACTTCAAAACAAAGATTCGAGGGTAGAAGAACAATTTAGAGTTTTTATTAAAATTATAATTATATTAAATTTCATTAACGAGCGAGTGAATTTAGACATGATCAATCAAAGCGTCCATTTACAATTTTTACATTGACATAAAATTATTTTTATATATGTGTACTAGTTGCATAGATATATAAATTTGGATTGCGCCCCAGAAAAAAAAGTTAATATTTCATAAATCTTTAGTTACGTGTGAAAACTTAGAAAAAGTTTATTTATTTTTATACATACATATTTATATAATTGTACATATAATAAAATAGTGTCTATTAAGTTGGACTACATATAAAATGAAGCTTTTACCTATGATTGTTAATCTTTTTTAGTTAATCCATTTTTACTCGTTCATCTGCATTCGAGGAATCATGGGAGGTAAATAAAAGTTCAGTTGAGAGGGTGGGAATTTTTTTTCACTGCCGTTCATTTAATTTAACAAGATGAAAACCTTAAAATTTAATTTTTAATTCTGACTCTCGTGTCTGCAGAATTTTATTTGCAGAATTCAGACAAGATAGATGAGTAAGAAAAGAAAGAAGGTAGCTAAGACAGCTAGTAGAAAGTAGAGTAGAGCTAGTTGCTAGTACTGCATAGGATAGGGTAAAACATGAGATAGGTAAACATGGACAATACCATAGGAGTACCTATCTCACGTTTTACCTAGTGTCATAGTCTTAGTAGAATGAAAAAAATTAATTGAATAATAATAATAATATTATAATATATAAATTATAAATAATAAATTATAATACTCTAATACTTTACTTACACAGTTTCTAACTTCTAATCTCTCTAGTCTAAGGCCTAAGCTATGTTAATATTTATTAATCTAATAACTAATTCTAATAGAAAATAGATTAAAATTAAAAACAAAAAAACAAAAATTAATACAATATTTGTATTTGTCAAATACAAATAAAATAAGTTATTTATGTTAATTTAATTATAATTTATATTAGTATTATTACAACTGTTTAACATATATTACAGTAAAACTACACTCTTTTTAATTTCTAATTTTCAAATCTCCAACTACGACCGTCCCTATTGCCATACTTCTATTATCAAAAAAATAATAGCATATCCAAGTTATTTGTTCTCCAGCTATCATTGTCATCATGTTTCAACTTTTGGACTGTTATAAGTTTCGTTCATCATATACCTAATATTTGTGAATCAATATCCATTTTATGATTGATTGATACATGGTGTGGTGGTCATCATATGACTTTGCAGTTAAAGTTAAATAAAAAAAGTTAATTTCTTTTTTTATAATGTAAAATTAAATTATTAAAGACATAAGATATGTTTTTTGTGGTCTGACCCCTTTTACTTTATCACAAATATTTGTTGTTAAATTGTTATTAGGTCCATATTGTTTCTCTGTTTGTAATTCTAAAAAATCTAAAAACCGGATACTTTATCTTTAACTCATCATCTCAAATGTTACAGGCCTAACCTTCTATAATATATCATTAATGCTGCATTCCTTGTGTATCAAATAAACTATATAAAATAAAGTTTAATAATTTAATCATTTCTGTCTTTTATATAATGGGTGGGTTGACAAAATTTTGGTTGCTCACATTAATGATCCAGTTTTTTCTTCAATATAATGTTTGTATTCCTTGTAAAACTGGTGACATATTTTTTAATTTTCTGCTAGCACTGCATATAATTCATTATTAAAAGCTTAAATTTAATCAGTCTAAACCACCTTTTTGAGATGCTGCTCAGGCCAATCTCAAGCTAATTGTATACAATTTGATTCCACATGTGTGAAACTTTCTGTAGTGTTTGTTACTTTTGTTTGCTATTTTAACAACTTTAAATTAGTATAAAATATTTTTGGATTTCAAACCTCTGAAAGTTTTTTTGTGTATTTTTTCAAAATATTATTTTCTCAACAAGTTTAAAATTATTGAAAATATTAGTTGGCACTTTGAAATGGAATTATTGTTAAGATTCATTCCATTCATTACTTTTGAAACATTTCTAGTTCTTATTTACTGCTTATTATGTGATAAGTTGCATAAATCTATATCTATATTTTTTGTCTGTTGTGTATTGTATTCAATATGTTTGGTGCCTCTATAAATCTCAAAAAAATTCTGTTATTTTTTAACAGGTTAAAACATTTTTTGAAAATGATTGAGAACGGTCTTCCACTTTTGGGCTTAAAAGTTGATTTATTCAAGGTTTTTATATGATGTATTAATATTTTTTCAAAAGTTTATATTTGAAACAAAAATAACTAATGTTATAAAACTTTTTAGAATATTTCATTTTTAATAGCTTAATCAGTGTTTACTCGTTCAAATTTTTTTCAATCTTTTAAATTTAAATTTCCAATTTACTTATGCTTTTTAATTATTTTCCATTATTAAGAAATGCTGAGTCTCAAATTTTCTATAACAGCATCTTCACGTCATGTATCAATTTGCCTTCGTAAAAAGATTAATTTTTGGTTAATCAGAAAATTTTTTGATTAGTCTCATTGAACTAATAAGATGTGAAAATAAATCTAAATTTTGTAGTTGCTCTTTTGCTGCCCTCAATCCTTTGTTCTGTTTAGAAACAGTTTCTGCTTCTAAATACTAATGTTTGGATTACTAGATTTCAGTAAATTCATGTTTTTAATCATTTTTTTCAAAAATTTTTTACAAAGGGTTTCACAATGCAATAAATGCTTCACTAGGGTCTCTAAAAGTGCTCTTGCATGCCATTTAAAACCAATAGAATTTCACATATAACCCATCAAAGGCAATCAAGTGCCAAAAACATCGAAAGATAAAACAAGAAATAAAACAGAGAAAAAAGAGCATGCACCATAAATGAGCCTTACAAGGCACAGCAGCCAGGACGACGTCCATGAAATAATGCTTTCCTCGTTGTCGTCTTCATCCTGTTAATTTGGGCTATTATACTTTCGTTTGTGTTTTTTTCTCTGTTTCACGTGGAGCATTCTTCTGTAGCACTTATCCTAAATGCATCTTGTCGTCTTTTTTTTTATTTTTTTAAAGTTAATGTTTCACGTGCATAAAATAATGTTGACTTTACATAAAAATCCATTAACTTAAGTTTGTTCTGAAGTAATATTTTTCAGCTCTTTCCACATTTCATTCAATGTTCCAATGATTAATTGATCCATCTATTCATTAATTCATCTTCTCATACGTCCATACGCAAACAACCATCAACAACTGATCTATTAACCAATCAATCATTCACGTTAAAATATCCCCCTTGACCTTTCATCTTCCTTCGCCGTAATTGCAATTTCTTGCCTCTCTGTCATGTCTGTGTTTGAAATTTGTTGACCTGAATTTTGCTGAAATAATTGAAATATTTAAAAAATGAGATACTCATCTGGTAATCTTTTTATCATTCCTGGTAATATTAATTAACAACATTCTGTGTCGTTACAATTTCTTGTTCCAGCTAATAAATTATAACAAAAATGTGGAAACGGATTTAACGGACTCTTGTCCTGAACGATCAAGGATGTATGTGCGTGCACTCCACGTTCATTCACAATTCCGTCTTTTATTATTTAGCTCGGTAGGATTTTGCAAAAAATTTTTATTTTTTTCAAAAAAACATTTCAATTCGCATATTTACAAATTGCAAACATGACACGAAACAATTTTTTGTCTCCACCCCCCCCACATGCACACGCACACTCATCTGTTCCCACACATCTATTCCCATACATCTGATTTTAAAAATTAGTACATAATTATGTGTGTGTGTGTGTGTGCAAAAAATTAACCTTTTTCCTATCATTTCAGTTTTCAATGAAGCATTTTTCATTTTTTAAGTTAGGGTTATCTCGTTTTAGCATTAATATTTTTCCAAATATGTTTTTCTTCCACAATATCCACTGCTTTCTTTTTGTTCAAATTTTCATCAACCTCTTCAAAAAAGTCAAGCAAAGATGTAATCTCCCTTGTAAATTTTTTTTTACTAAAAAAAGAATTGAAAAGTTTTCCTTGTAAATACTGAATTGAAATAAGGTTAAATATATCTGACATTTTTTGGTGGTCATTAGTAACGACACCATTCTCATTTCTAAGTGGGCCTATTATGTATGTCTTTGTATTTTTGCCTACTCATGTAGCTGAAAAAACTTTTACTGGTAATTTTGATATTACCTGCTAATTTTTTCTCATAATTTTTATGGCCTCCCTATTAGCATAGATGGAGTCCTGTCTTTTCTGTTTGAATTTGTTTTCTAGCTGCTGCATTCGGATTGATTGTCCTGAATCGACAGAGCTACATTTGCCGCCGAGAAGATGGAGGATTAGTTAAATGTTATTTGGAACTAAAATATAATAGAAATGTTATGCAGAAAATTTTTACAAACCACAGCTTGCTTTGGCATGCATAAGATGAGTGAAAAATAAGAACAGTTTGACACTTTTAAACAAAAAAGTTTTTTTTCAATGCATACACTTATAAACGTTTACCCACACACACATTTTTATTTTTTATTTATTGCCTTATACTTTTTTTTTATGTCCTGGTTATGACATTAAACTGACCCTCACTGCCTTGTGAGTGATGTTGAATCATCAAAGGCTAGGCCCACCGCTTATAACTGGTTGCGTAACGAAGGGCGTCCTGCGTAAAAATTAGCCAAATAAATTACTTATGATGGAATGGCGTCGAGGGGTATTTCGGTTTCTTCATAGGTAGCCAAACGGCAACCCCCGATCTCGGGGAAAATGTCGTCTAAACGTGTGTTGTTGTTGTTGCCTTATACTTTTTATTTCAAAATCAAGACCAATTCGTTTTACAAAATTCATTTTGTCATATTCTTCTGTTGACGTGAATTTAATTTAATTAACTTTTTGTATACTTCATTAATTACTAATATTAACTTTCAACTATTTTCTGTTTAGGAAAAAACATTGCTGTCGGGGCACTCATTACACCTGATAAATTCAGTTATATCCAAGTCTGTCCATATTTTAAACTGCTTCGTCGAGACCTGTGAAATAAAAATTGATAAATTAAACTCTCGAATTCAAAATTTGGAAATTTTACTGATGATTATGGAGATGAAGGTTTTTCTTATGTTATTATTTTCTTTTGTTTTGTATTAAGATTAGCAGTCAGTCCTCTAGAAATTTTTAAAACTAACTTGGTAAAATTTTGACTTTTGAAGGTGGTTGTAGTTGAAAATTTTGTTACTGTCATTAACTTTAAAATTTGAAAATGTTAAAAATAAGCTGGTAATTTGTTTTTGTGTGCTGGCTGACAATTTTAAAGTGCACATTTTCAAGCCTTAGAGAGTAACGTGCGCAGATTGTTTTTGTGTATAGTTGCATACAATTAACAACAGATTCACGGATGCAAAATTCTTAGTATCAACATGGTGAATGTAGTGAATTAGATTGGCTTGTTGAGTTATTTTGTTTTTATTTCTCACAAGCCTGGGTCTAGTGTCAAAAGAATATAATAAAATGCATTTATCATAGAAAGGGGACCAACATTTATTCGTTGCTTCACTATCTGAAATCGCCTCGTCCTGCTTTGCTGTGGCTGGGTTCTGTTGTAGAGATATGCCTGCCTAGTGCCTATTATACGCAATGCGTGTGATGCGGGGTTCCACGCGTATTTACTCAACGCTGTGTGTGGATTTCTTGATACCTCTGAGAAAAATATAAAAATGAATGATTTTTAATCTTTAATTTTTAAAAATTTTCCTTTTTTTTTATTCAGATATCTTCAGTTCCAAATATTTGTGATATCACTAATTTTGCTCCACCTGTAGAAGCAGACACCAAACAAACAGAAGTCGATCCCAATTTAAAATGCAACGAGGCATCGTTAGCAGCAAATAATGAGCACGAGAATAAAGTCTCCAATAAAAATAATCCATTGTATAAAAAATATTTCATCATGTTAAATATGGTATACTTATTGTTTGTGTAAATGGTTAAACGATTCTAAAAATCATTTCAAATTTTGAAGGGGATCCCTTTAGATGCAGTGAAACAGAAAATGTCGATGGATGGCGTTGATCCGAACGTACTCAAGTACTTTAAATTTTTTTGAAATTTTTTAAAAATTTGTTGTTTATCATTATTAAAAAACCAAGCAGGACTTTTTGTTAGGAATTAAAAAGTGAACAGACATTTAGAAATTTTGATTATCACAACGTTGAGATTGATTTTCTCCCTAGAATGAATTTAATTTCATGTTTCAAGAACATGTTGTGGTGCGGTAAAATTTAGGCAAAGTCTTTGGAACACCAAACCTGGAAAACGATTGTGTAAGTTTGAATAGAATTATTTTGAAAACTGAACTTCTCATTTCGACATCCCCTGAAGTCATTGAAGCGGTGTCAACAGCTGGCCGCCAATGTAATAAAATTAACTGAATTTGATATGATCATGTTGAGGAAAAATTGGAAGTGACTGAATAGGTCTACTACTAAAGCTAATGTCTTGTGTTTCTTGTTTAACTTGGGCACGTTTTTGACGATGGTCACTTACCTAAGTGACTCTTTATCTAATCCAATAATTTTGGATGTTCCTTTTTTAAAAGATCTATTTTAAAGATTTAAAGATCCAGAATATCTGAAGGAGGTTTTTCGCAAAAGAACTGAAGTTTGATGTGGGACATGCATTGCGTTCGGTTTCGTCAGAAATAATGGTAATTCCTAGGACCAGGACAAAACTGGGTGACAGATGTATGCAGGTTGCTCTGCTCAAGGTATGGAATGATCTTCCAACAAGATTGAAGCAAATTGTTCCAGAAAAAGATTTCAGAAGAGAATTAAATAGTTATTTATTCAGCAAAGCATTTAATCACAGTACAATCCTCTAAGGAATGTCATTAGAGTGAATAACATTATAATAATATATGATGGTGTTTTAACTAGTCGTGCTCTCATTTGGACATCTTTTTTGACTGATGATAACCAGAAATGATCAGACTCATTTAATGCATAGTTTGCTGAGGTCTCTTTCTGAAAAAAGACAAATCCTGATGGGCTTCATGCTCTTACATCTTTTGTCGGTACAGTTTGTTTGGTAAAACACTCATGTGATTTTCTGTAAACTAAACAAAAATTACTATTAAATATTGTAGCATTCATTTACCTAGCACATTATTTTACATAAACGTTGTTTTTTGTTAACTACACAACAAAGTTTAATAAATTCTATGATGGGTCGTAAATAAGTAGAAACCTTCTATACTTTTTTGTTTAAGCGAAATGATGTTCTTGATAAACGATTGAATGGTTTATTCCAGAGTTTAGGCGCAACGAATATCAAACTGATCAGGAAGGCTTTCGGTTTATTTGGATGAATGTAAAAAGTTTTCAAGTGGGGTGTTGGCCTGATTGATTTATCAGTGGTTGGGAGAATGTGTTCCAACCATTTGATGATTTGCTCTCGGAAATTTTGTAGATCTGTTCTTTGTAATGAGATTTTGTGCAAAGTGATTCGAAGATCTGGTTACACATTTGTAAGTATTTTGGAAGCCATTATGATGTATGAGCATTTTAATGCATTTACTAACAGTTTGTTGAATGCAAACCAATTTCCTAATGTTTGTATTTCTTTTTCGATGAAATTATTGTTGGCAGTTAGATGGGAGAAAAAAATGCTAGTATCATCTGCATAAAGTATACGGTTTAAGGTAGATGGCACATCTGGAAAATGATTGATATAGATTATAAATAGTAAGAGGTCTAAGATGAATATCTGAGGCACGCCACAGCTCAGCAAAATTGTGTCTGATAAAAGATCCCTCAAAGATACATATTTAGATATGTTGTTTAAATAGTTCAAAAACCAATTATTGGTAATTCCTTGGATAACATGATGACGAAGTTTTTTCAGTAGTAAGTAAGTCACTGTTAATTAAATCATATGCTTATGATAAATTGTTAAAAATCGCGAGGTTTAGTTTGATAATTGTCGGCATTATCTAATCAATATTTTTGATAATTGACAATGTTTTGGCTGATTTAAAAATGTTTGAGAATACAGCGGGTACTTTTAGATTCGTTACAAATCTGGGTTATTGCTATAAATACTCACCAATTTGACAGAATGCATTTTGAATCTGTGGTGATGATTCAAATATATTAGTGCATTTATTCACGTGTATCCCCAATGCTTCGTTAAAATTATGTTGTTTTGACATCGAATGAAAAATGAAACAGCTCATCGCTGTCCTGTTTAATAGTTGGTGTATTTTGTTCAACGAAGATTCCCTGTTCGATAGTAATCAAATGTGTGTATCGTTAACTTGCTTTCAGTGACGTTTATAATACAAAAGAGTTCAATAGGGCAATTGCAGTTTGGAAATTTTATGAATTAATTGTTTGCGTTAAGTCTTTGAAGCTTTTCACATGTTTTGTAATGGATTTAAAATTAAAAGTATTTAATCTTAAACAGACTCGACAAACGTCTTTTGTGCATCCGTTTCTTTACTTTTTTAATTGTTAAAGCGTGAATAATTTTTGTTAATTTGAGCGGATGAATAGTTGTTTCAAATTTTGACAGCTGCCCTGACGACGAGAGCACCTTCGTTATGATGGGGT